GTAGTTACTTACCATCAGGTAAGCCGCATGCTTATTTGACCCCTCTCCTATAAAAAAAACTATTGTCAAAATATTGTTTAATGACATCGATTAGTTTAAAACATTCGTGCACATTTACACATAATTGCGTAGGTACTTACATAAATAACTGCCGAGGCTAGTTTTTAAGCTCTTTAAAATAAGTATATTCTTACTTCAAATTTAAACAAATCATAAAGTCATCTTTCTCTGACCGTGGCGTTGGGCACAGGCTTAGGTAAAAAAAGTATAATAATTTGTCATAAAAATATCGATGTTTTCTCTTAAAAATATCGATATATATCGTCGAAATTTTTGATCGACATATATCGGTATTTATTTTATAGTATCGAATTCGTATGAATTTCGATATATTTTAAAAGATGGTATTAATCGACTAAACAAGAAGCAACAAAAGCAGCTAAAAAGTACTCATGTCCTGTTGTCGATTTGTTTTTCATCGTCCAACCGTCTACTTACAAAACAAAGATATCAGGAAGAAAATTAAGATATGAGGCAGAAAATAAAGCTATCAGGAAGATGCTGCTGCTCATTACCTGCTTCGATATCCCTCTGTCACTTCTTACGACACCCTCGGGATGATATGGGGTAGTGGATATTCTTACACCGCCACTAAACTACTCGAAACAGCTTATGAGCAGTAGCATCTTCCTGATAACAACTCAAAATAATAAAAAAGCTGCGGTTGCCAATCCGCCTGCCACGCGTGGCAGCGATACCAAAACCCTCCTATGAGGTAATCTATGGGGGAGGCCTATGTTCAGCAGTGGACTTTTGTGCGCTGTAATAGAGGGATGGATGGATGAATGGATATATCGATGCTGGTTAAAAATATTGATACCATTTTTTTTTCTCTTGCCTATTAATAGCTGGGCGAACTAATAACATTAGTTTCTAAACATGTAGGCTAGGTATGGGAAACATCGATTCAGTCTAAATCTCTAGGTCAGAATAAAATAAAAAACACATAAATATTTGTAGGAAAGTATTCAATTAACAATTGCTGTATTTGTTTCATGGTGCCTAAATTAGTCAGACAAAATATTTCGATTTATGTTTATTTTTGCATCTGTATCTTTGCATAAAATGTCCCGTTCATATTGTTGGATTTTCCTGCCAAATGCGTTGGACATCAATACAATTTTCTAAAAATAAAATTAGTTATTCATCTAACTTACATCTACCTTATTACTGTGTAATAAAGTATTCTAAACAATATTATATTTTTAGTAGCTCATACCGGTTTCACCACAGACAAGCACATGGTAAATCAGCACTTAAAATTGTAATTCACAATTTCATTAAATTCGGCGAGAATCTAAACTTGCGTTGCGAAACTAATCTTGCGTTACTAAGATGAGTGAAATTTTAAGTGGTTTAAAAATTAACGTTATTTGAATTTTTTGTTATTGTATTTAGGTAATACCGTATAATGGTGGGTAATAACATTCACTACCCCATTTATTTCCGTGGGTGTTGTAAGAGGCGACAGAGGGAAACAGGCAGGAGATGGGCAGCAGCATATTCCTGATAACTCCAATATAACAATAAAAAAACTGCGGTTGCCAACCCGCTCGCCAAGTGTGGCTACCATGGCAAATATCCCCCCATGATGAAAGTTACGAAGAGACTGCCCCCAGTCTATTCCTGGCTACGGTGGCGACCATGGTAACGGCGGGGCAGGGGGTGCTAAGTATCTCCGATGGATGCTCGGTTGCAACCTAAGAGGACTCGACCTGGCAACATAAAAGGCACGCACCCTGATGATTGACGAGAAGATCCTGGAGCTGGAAGAAGAGATAGACAAGTTACGCTGGCTTATTATAGGATTATCTAAGTCCGAAGAGAGGAAGAGGACACGATAATCCTCGAATTCGGCAACTTGTTCTATCACCGGGAAGGTGACCATCTGTCCCAAGGAGGTGTCGGGTTTATCGTCAACAAATCTTTCGTTAACAACGTTGTAGAGATTGTGAGTTTGTCGACGAGGGTTGCGTATCTTTTACTCAGAATCACCAAACGGTATTCGTTGAAGGTCATTCAGGTTTAGGCACCAACATCGGCACATCCCGATCATGAGGTGGAGGAAATCTATAAGGATAAATCTATACCCACGCATTCCTCCAAAATCCACTATACAGTATTAATGGGAGACTTCAATGCAAAACTAGGCAAAAGAGAGATCGGTCAACTAAAGGTAGAGAAAATTGGATTAGGGCAACGAAACCCAAGGGGCCAGCAGCTGGCCGACTTCATGGAGAAAGAGGGACTCTTTATGATGAACTCTTTTTTCTAGAAGCGGCTCCACAGGAAGTGGACCTGGTCGAGCCTCGATGGTTCGACAAAAAATAAGAGACACGAAAAAAATAAGAAATAAGAACAAACAGATCTACAAATGCATGCGACGTGACATACGCAACTTAACTTAAAATACCGCTTGTATTAAAGAAGCAATTTTAAGAGAGATTGAGAGGTTCTATGGACAATTTTGCACGTCACCGTTGGAGCCACACGCAAATGTGAGTAACGATCCAGTAGCGAGTCGTATCCGCCCCTATTCTTATGGTATGCCGGACGTTAGTCTAAGAGATATTAGAATGGCTTTCCAGCACCTTAAAAACGGTGACGCCCCAGGTAAGGATGTAATTATAGCGGAGCTTCTGATAGCAGGGGCAAAAACTAGTATTTTAGGTCCTTCAGAAGCTCTTTTCTTCCGTCCTCAATGATTGGACTACTCAGGAGCCGTAGACCAGAAGTGCGATGGTCTTGTTCTACAAACAAAGGGACAACGCTCTCTTGAAGAACTACAGACAGATTTCCCTTCTGAGCCGCGTCTACATGCTGTTTTCGAGAGTCATTACGAATCGTCTCAAACGCAGACTCGACGACTTCCAGCCTCCAGAACAAGCCGGTTTCCGAAGAGGCTTTAGCACCACAGACCATCCATCAACATTTTTAACAGTGGTAGAGCCACGCGGCAGCTTTTATTGTCGCACGGATGGGCCGGCTCGAACCGGGGTAGTACCACGACCTCACAGAAAACCAGCGTGAAGTAGAGGTTTACCTCTGCGTTTCGCTTGGTGAGTGCAGGTGGCCGGAGGCCCTTTTTACTGGAAATGAGGCATTCCATCTTAGTCCTCACGGGTGACAACGCATCTACATTTTGATTTGTAACAGAGGATAGATGTAGATGTCTATGGGCCGCAGCAACCACTTACCATCAGGTGGACTGTGTGCTCGTTTGTCACCCTTATCCTATAAAAAAAAAAAAAAAAAAAAAAAACCATAGACCACATACATACCCTTACACAAGAGTACAATTTGCCGCTTTGCCTTGCGCAGTTGTGGGCTGTGCTGCAGTCCCTTCAGCGGTGCCAATTTGACTATCGGTATAAAGAAGTGCTGAAGTGTTCATCATGCTATCCAATTGCAGAAAGGTGTAAGACAGGGTAACGTTATATTCCCGAAACTCTTCACCGCTGCATTGGAAGTCGTTTTCAAGCTACTGGACTGAAAAGGATACAGTATTAACATCAATGGCGAGTATATCACTCACCTTTAATTTGCTGACGATATAGTCCTTATGGCAGAATCGCTGGATAACCTAAGCAACAAAAAGACAAAACAAAGATCATGTTTAATATCCATGTCACACCTATGCGGGTAGTTGTTGGGAGCATGACTAAGCTCGAAGTTGTTGACGATTATGTTAACCTGGGACAAATAGTCCGACTAGGTACGTTCATCTTCGACTGAGAGGTTGATCCACGGATTCAACTCGACTGGGCAGCATTCGGGAAATTACGACACATCTTCTTGTCGGGAATACCTCAAAACCAGAAAACGAGATTGTACACCAGTGCGACTTATCGATCTAAGACGTGGTCCTTCACTGCTGGCCGTATGAGCCGCCTGATAAACTTAGAAATGAGGGTATCCGCAGTAGAACTAGAGTGACCGATACAGCCCAACGGATTAGTAAGCTGAAGTGGCAATGGGCGGGCCATATAGCTCGAAGAACCAACAACCGATGGGAACAAAATGTTGTGACTACATGGTAAGACATGCAGGAAGTCGATGGATGCAGGTGGGCTCAGGACCGTGCTTTGTGGCCTCGCCCAGGCCTGTGTTCAGCAGTGGACTTGTGAAGGGCTGGTAATGAAATATAATGTAAATGAAAATGTGCTATTTAATTGATTTTAGGTATGTATACAATGTATATAAAATTGGCTTTATACGATTGTCCAACCGTCCAACTTCATACTAACACCAGAACCTGAATGAAATCATTCATTCTGTGATTTAAAAATTAAGAAATTGTTAAAACGAATATTTTGTATTAAGCTCCTTTGATGTTGTGATGATTTGTGGTCAGTTACCGCCATTGCCACCGATAGTCAAATAGCCGATCCATGTAACTCGCACTAACCACTCCTTAGCACATTAGAGTCGGCACAATACCTAATGCGTTAAGACACCATCCAAAATTCACAGTAGATAAGGAGAGTGTAGGTAGGATGGGCAGGGTATTTTGCGCGCGTTTGAGAATATAGATGAACTCCCAAACGAGGCGGTGGCGGTGGCAAATTTAAATCCCATCAAAAAAATGTGGCCAAGTTAACCAACTCGCGCAACACGCAACGTCTACAAAAAATATTTTTATTTCGGTATGTAACTAATATTAACATTATGTTAATACTGCGTTTTAGTTTGAACGATGGGGCCCTAGATCTGACGTAATAAAAAAATAGTATACAACAAGAACACAGAAGCGTAATGCTGTCCGCATGTTCGCTTGTATTTCTGATAATAATTAATGTCAAAGCTACATAAGTAATTTCTGTCAATTTTTGTGTAGTAAAATACGGAGCAAAGAATATATATGATCACTATGTTTAGTATGCATTATAGAATATGAATGACACACTGCTAGTTTATATATTAAATAAATTAAAAAGAAAATGAATAGTCCTGAGCTAATGGATAAGTATGAAGATGATGAAGACGATGATTCACCTTTAGAAGAGAATTATATACGCTGGAGCAATTTACTGTTTCTCCCTTTCCATCCAGTGGCAAAACTGTTGGTTCTATTGTCAGTTATTGTAAAAAGCATATTGGTAAGTACGTATATCAACGTGTAATATTTTTAATAACCATGTAAAGAAATCTAAATACAGTTTTGTGTACGGGACTTGAAATATGAGTGAATTTTAAGCAATAGACACAGGATATATTAAGCAGGTAGCATATTATAATATATACGAGTATATGTTAGAACTAGTTGCGGCCAGCAGTAGTTTTTTAACGTTGTACTGTTCAAATTGTAAAAATACGGAAATATGTATAAAGTAATATCAGCGATAGTAGCTTAATTAATTAAGATAATTCTTATACTAGTTTCATACACGTTTATAAATATCTGCAAATAAGCTATAATATGTGTGGATTTTCTTGTCCAAGCTAGTTTTTATTTTCGCTAGAACCAGGAATAGTTTTTTATGATTATAATTTGCTTCATCATGTAGGAAATCCAATTTAGTTTCTTCCTAAATGCGTGATTTTTAAGCAAAAATCCAAATATCTTCACAAAGTTGCAATTCAATAGATTATAACATAATAAATTTACAGGGACCTTTACAATCAATTTATCCAATTGTATATTGTTGGGACGTGCTTGACCGTAATATTTATCTGTGGCTTATCAAGGCTTTTTATTTTTACGGCTGCGATCTTATTTACGGGATTGATACTTGTCTTCATATAATGCATAGGTGAGAGCCTCATTTACTTACAAAAATATCCTCACAATCTCTAAACTTTAAACTTTTTAAACTTTTCCGTGCCAAAATAAGAAAAAAAGAAATATTTGGAATCACCTTAGTAATTGTCGGTCACGGATGTTTTAAATCAATTATTTTTGCAATATATATGCCAATCCTCGTTGACGTCCGTCAAGTTAAGGTTTGATCTTTTTTTTTACAGAAAGGTTACATTATTATAAGCACACACACAAAGTTTTGACATTCGGAGACGCGTACTTATTGAGAAAAAAATTATTGAAAATCAATTATTTTTGCAATATTTATATCAATTCCTACGGTAAAACTGACGCCATTTTGTATTGTTATGGTCATCGTTAGTAGCTGTACCGACTATAAGCTGATGTACCGACTCACAAAAAAATCGATTTCTAAAATATCGATATTTTTTCATGTTTGCATTTATAATGTAAATATAAATCCATTTTATGAGAAAAAAAATCCCCTTCATCAGAAAAAAATAGGGGGACTGAATAAGAGGGATTTCTGTATCTATTTTGAGACTACAACGTCTCCGGCGCTGCGGGAAGTACGCAAAACTGCGTGTGTGCTTATAATAATGTAACCTTTCTGTAGAAAAAATATCAACCCCCAACTCGACGGACGTCAATCGAAAGTCGTACCTGCGCAGCGCCTTAGTCGATGACAGCATGTTAGAGTACGTAGTTATTACAAAGAGTGAATATATGTTTGAAACAAAAATTTTTGTGTATAGTTATACTTGGGACTGTACCCGTGTACCTGACGGCGACGGGTACAATTGTGGGATTGGTAGGATGTGTGTGTCTCCGCATGAATAAGATAATATTCTTTTCTGTCCAGTTCATAGCTTTTAAAAAAAATTCGATGGTGTCGTGGTCGTGGTCATAAGTGGTTGTTAAATCAAATTGAAAATGAAGTTATAGCGGTTACGTATTAGAAAGTATTTTTTCTTTATTTTCAATGAAATTCTATGATATTTTTTTCAGACAAGTGACAGACGAGGCGATGAGGCGCGAATACTTACCAAAATCCGCTTTTTTGCTATTTATTGATATAGCATGTTTGATTCCATTTTTTCGCCTTATGATCTTTGACGATTGCACTGAAGTAAAATTCTTTCCAAATATATTATGTTTTATAGAGTTCGTGACGTAAGTAATTCCCAATATTAATTAAATAATATATGAGCAAGTATTGTTGTTTTGCCGGTGCAACTCTTGATGTGCAATTTGTAAATGTTTCAGCATTTATAGGGTAGCGGAATATTTTTCCTTACTTACCACACATAATTATTGGAAGCTTTGCATGGGTTTCACAATAATGTACTTTCTTACTGTCAACTGCATTTCCTGTTTTTTAATTTTATTTACCGAAATCGGTCTGTGTAAGAACTGCGTTAATACTGTGTATTATTATAAAGACTGGCGAAAATTTGTTATGCATAAGGTAGGTGGAATAGAGACTCGATATCTTTTAAAACACACAATATATATATATATAAATAAAAAAAATCGGTACTTATTCATACAGTAATTGCCTTGAATGTTGATACCGTATGTGGCACCCACGACAAGTCAAACTAACAAATCGATCAGTCAATGCGAAGCGCTTCGATCACATGGCTTAAACCGTACAAAGGCAAAGCTTCTAATGCCAGCTATACATGTTGCCTATAGCTCACCGAGCGAAGAGGAGTTCCAATATATGGACAGCATATTGTCTAGCCTCTCCATTGCTCGTCGTTGCTGGCCTAGTTGGCCAAATGCAGGCGAGTGGTTACGTGTGTACGCGTTTCGTTTGGCGTGCCTTGCAGCCACTCGGGATCGCTCGCCACGATTTGTCTCACTTTGGAACAGTGTCGGTTTTTCTGCACAAATCAAAGGCGCTCGCCTGCACTCGGCATTTCGTTGTCCACATGTTATTCGACCATGTCAGTATGTTCACTTATTCAAACTTGCTCAATATGTAGACTGTAGCACTCGTCTTGTATCAATTTGGCTACACTCACGTTTTCTGAGGTTTTACCAACATACTCGTATATTGCCAGCTTATCAAATGAATCGGTCAACGCGAAGCGCTTCTTCCACAAACTAAAGAAACCGTACATAGGCAAAGCTTCTATTGCCGGCTATACATGTGGACTATAGCTCACCGAGCGAAGGCGAGTACCAACATATGGACAGAACATTTGTCTAGCTTATCCATTGGTCGTCGTCGCTCGCATAGTTGGCCGAGTGCAGGCGTGCGGCAACGTGTATACGGTTCGTTTGGCATGCCTTGCCAACACTCGGGAATGCTCGCCATGACCAGTCTCACTTCGGAACAGTGTCGGTTTTTCTGCCCAAGTCAGAGGCGCTCTTTACCAACATGTAGATTGTTTCACTCAGACAGCAATCACCTTGTATCAATTTGCCTACATTTGCGTTGGCTGAGGCTTGGCCAATATGTCAACTTTTTACCTTTTTTGGTAGGGTTGACACAGGAGGATAATATTAAATAAACAAAATGTTTATGAGTTTTTTATTATGTACCTTTGATAGTATAATTGTTTTTACAAACTACTTACTCTAAATATTTTGGTTTCCTATTGTTTGTTTTTGAATAAGTTGTTGTGCCTTTTAGTTGAATGGTCAATTTTAAATGTAATACAAAGTTTCTTTCCTAAATAATCTAATATAAAACACTCATATGGCATATACCTAGAAGCTTGTACACCTTCTTAGTACGTCTGTATGAATAATGATTTCTTCATTTAATGTCTGTATCAATATAATAATAAAATTATAATACTTTATTTTCACGACTTGCATTACTTCTATACTTAGTTCACAATGATTGATGGAACATCTCTGTCTGAACTAGATAAATATATATCTGTATTTCAGATCACAGTGCTCTTCCTTATTACATGTTAACAGACTTACATAAGGATAACTCAAATATAAGTTATACAACAAATAAAATGTGAATATTGATGATGACAAAATGTGTTGATGGTGTGTGATAAAAAGAATAATGCTAAAATGTGTGTTAAAATGTTAAATGCATGAGTGCGTTTAAGATGGTGTGTAATTAATATTAATTTGTAGCAAGTAATGCTTCAATTTCTTTATAGTTTAACTGGTGAAGAAGTTCAAATAATTAAAATTAATTTTGCATTTTGTTTACTTAAGGAGTAAATTTCAGTGATTTTATTGATTTTGTTACAAAGAAATGGTCCAAGGTGATAAAATATTTATTAACGGCATAATGACTATAAATACGTCTATTTTTGTAAACTTTATCTTTTCTTCGTTTAGAAAACAATAAATCTTCATCGTGAGATAAACAAGAATGTTGTTTCAACACTGTATTCAGAATAAATAGCTCATGAACAGAGAGCACTCCAAAGGATTGGTATAACTGAAACGTAGGGGAACGTGATGATTTAAATGAGCATACTTTAAGTATTGCTCTTTGTGGTATTACAAGGAGCTTTAGAATCGATTTGGATGCACCTCCCAACACAGTAACACAATAGTTCAGGGTTGATTGATCAAGAGCAAAGTATCATTGTTTCAACAATTTGGAATGCGCCACATGTCGAAAATTTTTGAAAACAAAGCTTGGTTTTCTTAGTTTCCCACAAACCATAAGTATATGTTGACAAAAAGTTAAGATTTGGTCCAATATTTCCACCAAATATTTTGTGGAAGCGGTTTTAGAAATGGAAGGACATGAATAGAAGTTATTATTGCAACAATTATGAGCAACTAGTGAAAGAGATGGCGGTGGTTGAGTAGAGTTTCGCATACTAGAATACACAAATTGTGTTTTACCAACATTGATAGTAAGAAAATATTGTTGCAGCCAATGAGTTACTAAATTTAAACCTAAATATGCTTTTTTGTAAACACTCTCCCACGAATGTTAAGAGTATAGCAAAACTGTGTCATCTGCATAACAAATTATTTTACAATTGGGGGTCTTTAGTTAACAGAAGTACTTTATATAGACAGTTAGCAGGCTTGGACCTAATATACTGCCTTGTGGCACACCTTGAGTAATCGGTAGATCTCCACTAACATGATTAATAATTTTGACACATTGATATCTATTAGAAAGGTTTTCCTTGAATATATTTAATTGAACACCACGTATTACAAGAGATTCAAGTTTATATAATAATAAAGGAATGGAGACATTGTCAAAAGCCTTGGCAAGATCCAAAAATGTACCTATAGTCCAGATTACTCACAATATAATCAGTAACCTCATGGACTAAATCTTTAGTTGATTTATCTGGTCTAAAACCGAACTGGCTTTTAAAATAAAGTTGTTTCCTTCTATGTCTTTGACTAGTTAATTATTGATTTTTTTATAGAAGAGGGGGCAAACTAGCATGCGGCTCACCTGATGGTAAGTGACTACTGCCAACCGCAACACCAGGGGAATTGCAGATGCGTTGCCGGCCTTGTAGAAAGGTGTAAGCTCTTTTCTCTTCCTAAGTCGTATCGGTCCGGAAAAATCACTGGTGGTAATTGATTCCACAAGGAAGTTGTGCGATGGAGAAAATTTCTTCTAAATCATACAGTGGTGGACCGCCAATCATCCATATGGTATGGATGGTATCGCGAGTTTTGTCGCGATGTGCGATGTTGAAATTGAGCGGCTGGAATTAGTCCGAACAATTCCTCAGAGCACTCCCCATGATAGATGCGATAAAATACGCAAAGAGATACAACATATCTACGCAGTGGCAGTGTATCGAGCCGATCAGAAAGAACTCGGTCGTCAACGATTCCAACCGCTCTACGCTGAATGCGGTCAAGTGGAAGGAGCTTGCACTGGGGTGCCCCTACCCAGAGATGAGAATAGTATTCCATGTGAGGCCGAACTTGCGCTTTGTAAAGTTGCAGGCGGTGTACCGGCATGAAACACTATCCCGCTCTGCTGAGCACGCCAAGCTTTTTAGAGGCCAATTTGGCCTTCTCTTCCAAATGACCACGAAACTGCACGTCACTCGATATGTCGACTCCGAGGATTCTGATACTTGCTGAGGCAAGAAGGAGAGTGCCTTTCAAGGCACTCTCCTTCTTGCCTCAGCAAGAGTGCCTTTGCCTCAGCAAGAGTGCCTTTAGTTTCAACTAAGGAGATAAGACAAAGGGGTTCTTTTTAGTGGTAAATGCGCAAACTTGTGTCTTCTGGGGATTGGACTAGACTAGATTTAGTCGCCCCCAATCCGAGACTATGTTCAGCAAAGACTCGACTTAAAACACAAGTTTGTCCCGGTACTCGGCGACGTTTTCCCGAGAAATATTGGCACGGCCGGTACATAAGGCATCTCCAGTGCAGTCTGCATAGCAATGAATATTACCAGTTAGCAACATATCATTGATATGCAGAAGAAACAGCGTTGGTGATAGCACACAGCCTTTTGGAACACCAGCGTTAATAGGTTTGTAGTCGGATCATGCACCGCCTACAACGACCTTATATATACATACATACATACATAAACACTCACGCCTGTCACCCAGAGGGGTAGGCAGAGATTATGGACTTCCATTTGGCACGATCCTGATATATGTATGTATGTATGTATGTAATCCGTTATTGTATACAATTCCTAGGAAATGTATGTAATTCCTAAAATCGCACGGAAATGTGTAAAATAAATTATATTAGACATATTTCCTAGGAAATCTATACATTGTCTAAATAGCAGTCGGAAATGTAAATATTTGAGATATCAATGGGTATGCGGGGATAGCGGGGCGAGGGGAGGGTATTGTTTTGTCTGATCAGGCGATCTCGCTAGTGCCGCGTTAACTGTCAGTGTGTACGCACGTCGCTGTTGCTCAAAATGGCTACCGAATCACGCATCGCGCTTATGAAAGAGCGTATTTAAAGTACTTTAGCGTCATTAAGAACGTTAACAAACGCTAAGAACACTGCTTATATTGAAGATGAACGTTATAAAAAGTTAACTGAAGAAGTTTCCACGGCAAAAATAACAGCTAGAAAGACTTCTCGTGATTATTGGCTATTGCGGCGATACGATGTGCTTACCATTGACCAGAAAAGTAAGCTTATTTTTCCTGTTAAAGACACTACAAGCACTATTATTTACTACGCATGTGATAGCGAGTTATTCGACATATTACACGAGGCACATATTCAAATTGGTCACGGCGGAAGAGATCGTATGATGAAAGAGGTAGGGAGTCACTACAAAAACATAACACGTAAGGATATAGAAACTTATCTTGAACTTTGTGAACCCTGTCAACAAAAACAAAACAAGATCAAAAAAGGCATTGTTGTAAAGCCTATTATATCGTCAGAGTTTAACTCTAGATGCCAAGTGGATCTGATAGATTTTCAGTCCCAGCCCGACGGTGATAACAAATTTATAATGGTGTATCAAGATCATTTAACAAAATTTGTTGTTTTAAAACCACTTAAAACAAAACGAGCTGAGGAAGTGGCTCACACTTTATTGGACATATTTACTATACTTGGTGCTCCTGCAATAATTCAGTCTGATAACGGCAGAGAATTTTCCAACCGAATTATTGATCATTTAAAAACATATTGGCCTACTTTAAAAATTATTCATGGTAAACCCAGGCATTCGCAAAGTCAGGGGAGTGTGGAAAGAGCAAATCAGGATATTGAAAATATGTTGACCACGTGGATGCAAGACAATAATAATTCACATTGGAGTGAGGGTTTGAGATTTGTGCAACTCATAAGAAACAGAGCTTTTCACGATGGTATTAAGCAATCTCCTTATGAGGCACTTTTTGGGTGTAAAGTAAAAGTTGGGTTACAGTTACCCAATGATTTCACGCAAAATGTAGAAACTGTAGAAGATTTGGATAAAATTATACAGGACCTTACCAAAAATGAAGAAAATCCCGAAATCACTGCATGTGAATTCTCTAAGGTGAACACGGAGGCAAGTCAAGTTTCTAACAACGATTCAGATCAACCCGAAACTAATACGCAACCTCCAGCTTGCACCCTCCAATGCAGCGTCTGTTCACAAGAAACTACAGAGGCTCATACATGTAGAGAATGTGTATGTGCAATCCACGCTATTTGCGCTGTTGCTGAAGAATCATCTGATGAAGGATTTGGATCTAAAGTTTTGTGTCTATTATGTTCAAAAAAATATAAAGTACAAGATAATCGTCAAAGTGCTAAGAAAACCCTACAACAACAGGCTGAAAAAATGCTAAAATCGAGTGAAAAGAAGTTTGCTCCTGTACCTATTGGCACTTCTGTACGAATTGCAGTTCCAGAGGTTGACAGAGAACGTGGTAATGCCCGAAATATTATAGGTGTAGTTTTGGCTAAAACCGATGATGAGCTTTATCAAATTGGTACTAAGAACGGAATCTTAAAACAAGTATATTCTCGATCTCAGATTAATGTGTGTCCAAGAGCTCTTCTTGATGCAGAGGATGTACCGAGTACGGAGATAGCACTACGGTCAGTTGCTAACCTACAATCCACTGGAACCGGCCAGGGATTTAAAAAGTGCCATTGCAAAAAAAACTGTACTACAGCAAGATGTCTGTGCTATAAAAATAAATTATTGTGTACTTCCAAGTGCCATTCCGGCTTACCCTGCAAAAATAAATAGCCATATGGACTGACTCGTTACATAATATAAAGACTTACTTTAATATTGTGACATTTATAATTACTTAAATAACGACTAATTACTTACCCAACGAAAGTTTGACTTTATGAGAATAATATAAGTCGATTTTGTGATAAATACATTTTAAAAGTGCCTAGATACTTGATTTTCGAAGCTTTAATTAGTAAGATAATATGAAGATTATTATATTATACGAAATGACTGTTACCTAAACGCTGTTGTCTCAACGAGTGCTTTAATAAAAATTATTATTCTCATTTTAACAACGTCTTTTATTACAGAAATCATTATTTTTATACATTTCCTAATACGATATTGGAATTATATACAATTCCTAGGAATTGTGCACATTTCCTAGGACATTTATGTATTAAATAGTTTTTGATACAATATTTTATACATTTCCTAAATAGCTTCGGTATTATATAAATTTCCTAAGATTTGTATACAATTCCTAGATTTCATACATTTCCGGTAACATATATATATTAGATGACATTTTTTTTAACAGAATAGTAGTATAAGCCCCGCGCCGCACGAGACTTAAATGCCTACTGTTGCAGGGTTGTCACTGTATTTTTGTTTAACAGCTAAGTCTCATTTAGTTTTATAAATAGTTATAATATTTACAAACATAATACATACGGATACGTACCTATGCATCATATTTGTTAACCATTTCTTTAGTTTCCTCTCAAATAATCAATGTTTGTCAAAAAAACATCAAACAAAACACGGTTCACATACATTTATTTATTTATTTATACACTCTTTTTCATTTTGTAATTTCTTACCTAACTATTATGAGTTATTTTGTTAGTACTAACTTTTCGTGTTCAGTGGGTATCTTGAAGAACAATTATTCTGGATTTGAGGAATCGTTGTGAGGCATCCAAAGGCAGTACAATATGTTGTATGTGCTTTCGATATATTTGAAAAGTATAAGCACAGTTTAAATAGGTGCGGCCCGCGAAATATCACGAGACTCAAACAAATGTTATTATTAGAGCAAGTAGTTTGTAAAAAAAATATCATAGGTGAAAATCTGATAAACGTTTTGTTTATTTCATATTATCCTCCTGTGTGAACCCTACCAAATTAGGTATGACTTTTGAACGCTTCGTAGAAGCTTTGCCTCTGATCGGATTCTTTATTCATGTGGTCGAGTTTAAAATCACGTCTTATCAATGATTTTATACAATTCAAACATCTATACACGTTATATAATCCATTGTTAAACTCATCTTATTATTTTTACAATATTAGACTAATTTGAATTTTTAATTTAAAAACTTAAATCACCCTGGACAATATCAAATCGCATTATCATTCATTATATTATTGATTAATTAATTTACATTTAGTGTATTTACATTACTATAATAATTAAAATAAGAATTAACATTTTAAAATATTCTATTCTAAATATGTTATATCTAATTATATTATATTACTTCATAGAATAAAATAATTTAATGTATGTAATTCACTCACGTTGCACTGAACGAACGCATCACTGCTATTCACCTGGCGGTAGACGGCAGCGGCCGTACCACGCTACAAATTTTACATTAAGAATATAGATTACTGTATATACTCGCCTCCATTGCGCCATTTGTTGGGTGGATTATGAATAGTTTCAGCAAACCAGCAGCAATGGACTGGAAATATTGTTTGTGTAACGACGATTGACTACACTATTTTACTAACGGATTAAGAAATAAAGGATAAAGAATGTGATTAGAAATGGTGAGCGGCGCTCATCGAGCATGTACCATCAACATGCACAGTACCAAAAACGAAAATCCGCTAATACCGGTATATCGTTATAACGTTATATTATTTAGTTAATTGAAAATTTTCTATCAAAGGGAAAATATTTGAAAAGAATTGTATTCGCAATTAGGTAAATTAATTTTAAAATAACTACAACTAGCGACCTGCTCTGACTGCGCCTGGGAGGGATCTATTAATGTGGCGTTATTTAGACTTAAGATAATCATTAAAGATAATTTATTTTAGCTTATCTCTCTATAATATATATAAGAAAGTCTCTATATAAGAAAATATTTTATATTAAAATATTAACAAACAAAATCAACAATAATTATGAAGAAAACTCTCAGAATGCGTCGTAACTCACAAATTAGCGAAACCGGATTGAATTTTTTTTTAAATACGTGTTAAAATACTCGTCGAAATAGTTTTGTTAAGTGCTTAGTATATTTAATTTTAGGATAAAATAGTTGAAAAAGTTTTAATGTAATTTAAGAATAATATATGGGTGGGGCTCATAAAATTTGTACCATAAGGCTCTAGCAAGAGTAACTTACAAAATCGTAAGCAACACACTGGAAATTACGTAATACGCTAGAACTCTGAAAAGACAGGAGTAAAAATAATGTTATTATAAATATTGGCATGAATTCTTAGTTTTTTTTTTGTTCTGACTCATACCCAAATGGAAATAAACATCACTCAAATTGTAACGTTTTATTAAACCTAAAGAGGAACTTTGTTTTCATGTTAGAAATTTTAAAGTTATATTAAAATAAGGAATATGACATTTCTCCATTAATACTAAGATTTTTTTTTTGGTGACTACACTAGAAACTATATTCTAGAGCACTATTTTGCAATACTTTTATTAGAGTTTTCAAGGGTTCTTCAAGGTAAATGTTTAGCAAATTTTCTTCTATAATCATGTTAGCTCTAGTCCATGGACTACGTTTTTCTTGTTCATTAGTAGCCGATTAGTAGCCCTATTGCATCTAAATTGCACTGGCTCAGAAACCCGACCAGGGATGGAGACATCTCATACTGACCTACCCACACGAGCAAACATTAAATCGTATGACTTATACCCTGCTGTATCGTTAACAATATTATTAATACCCCATATTACATTTGGTAATCTGTTGTCCCAATTATAAGAGGCCTCGCTAGGTTCCGTGGCTCTTACCGCATCGAGAATTGTGCGATTATTGCGTTCTACTTACCCATTAGAACTAGGACATGCAATAGCTGTTAACGTGTGTTTAAACTGCGTTTCCCTTACAAACTTCTTGAAATATACTACTCGTGAAGGCCTTACCATGATCGGAAACTACATGATCTGGGGAACCGAACAAACTAAATATGCGTTTTAAAACTCTGATCGTCTCCACAGAATTTACAGTACGCGTAGGCTCGGAAATAACAAATTTAGAGAAAGCATCTGTCAATACTAACATGTATTAGTACCCTTATGTTAGTTTTGCTAAAAGGGCCCAAATGATCAATATGTACCATTTTAATTGGTTTAGTTGATGTAGAAATTGGATGTAATTTGCCTTCTTTCCTACCGTATTCTCTTTTACGTTACGCACAATGTAAGCTTGACGTCACATATTTGCGATTAAATCGGGACATTATTGGAAAACAGAAATCATTTTTTACAATTTCTGAGCACCGTTTTAATCCTACATGGCATGTATTTCTAATATTTTCCATCGCGCAAAGTTTGGCACAACTAATCGGGTACCGTAACGAGTTTTACGATAAAGCCCCATCGACGATTACATAATTATTCACTATATGACTATCTGTGCAGCCACCTTTGCAGTAAATCAATAATACGTTTCGACATTCCATCTTGACATGACACTGCACTAAACCAATTGTTCACCTCTAAACGGTACACATTAACGGCATCTATCGGATTCCTACTTAAGGCGTCTATATGCTTCATACGCTCACCCGGTCGAAATTCTATAGTAATATCATAGTCTTGAATTAAAAGCCACCAGCGAGCAATGCGTGGAATAAGATCATGTTTAGTCATTGTATCGCGTACTGCAGTAAAGTTACACGGATATTTTTACCTAACACATATATACGAAACCTTCCCAACGATTCCACCACTGCAAGACACTCGAGCTCATAACTGTGATAAATACTTTCTTCCCGACTGGTAACGCGACTAAAATACAACACAGAGCGCAAACTACCGTCAATCTGTTTTTGTAAAAGAATGCCTGCAATACTTAACTTACATGCATCTCTGTGAGTTTCTGTTCGCAAACTTGGATCGTATATCGCTAATACTGGCTTGTCACATAATTTATTTTTTAAATTCTCAAAACTAGATTTTTGTAGCTTGCCCCACATCGTATTTTTTGTTAGTTCGGTAAGCGGACGAGCTATTATTGCAAATTTATGGATGAACTTCCTAAAATAACTACATAGACCAATAAACTGACGCACTTCGTGTACGTTACTCGGAACCGGAAATCGAGATACAGCTGCCAACTTAAATTTACCCGGTTGCCATCACGTGATATTTCATAACCTAAATAAGAAATCTTATTTTGTACAATGAACATTTGCTCATATTAAATTTTAAATTCTTCGTTTGCAATATTTTAAGAACTTTATCTAATAAGTCTAAACCTGTTTGAACATCGACTGACGGTAGCAAGAGATCGTTAAGGAATGCTAATACCTCTGACGACTGTTTGATGAAATTATTGAAGTTATTTTTATCTAAATGATCTACTTTAGAACTTTCTAAACTATCTACGAACTTGTTTTTAGATTAAAGGCATAAAGACCGAGGGAGTGTTAGCGAGACCGAAGGGAACCCTATTATATTCATAATGTCCGTGCGGTGTAACAAAAGCCGTTTTGTGTGTAGCTTTAGGATGAATCCTAAGCTGATGATACCCTTGGGCTAAAACAAGACTGGTGAAACAGTTCTTGCACGATAATTTAGAAATTTGCTCATCGATATTAGGTAATGGATATCATTCGCGGAAAGTTAACGCATTTAATGCTCCGTAATCGACACATAATCGACTATCTCCACTCTTTTTCTCAACTAAAACAAATAAAGAAGCATAATTATATAATAAAAATTTTCAACTTCTTGTGCTAGAAGACTTCAATATTTTCCTTGCGGGTGGTGTGCATCGACCTTCATAGTTTGAATCTTCAGACATCTGGTTTACCGGTGTAGAATCTTCCTCCTCCCGACTAGGCGACCGTCGACGTTTATATGTAGCAGAGCGTTGTTTCATCGTTTTTTTTTTCTATCCCACTTCTGAGTATAACTACAGTGGTAACAAATAAAAAGGAATTGATATATAATTTTATTCTGACAGAGTTTTCTTTTACAATTATTTTTATAAAGTGAATACATAAAATCATCATTGCGAGCTTTTATATCGCTGGCTGGCTGGCGGATACTTCACCTCCTCCGGGTCGGAATTTTGCTGGGGCAAGGCTCACGTGGTGGGGTAAGTGATACAGCGGTTAGGAGTTGACATCCGGCTTAGCGGCTGCCTAGCGACATCTAGCGTTACATAGGTTTTGAGAGAATTTCTTTTAAATTATTTATATAGAAAATTGTTCTAACAATTAAGGTTAAAAAAATAAAATAAAGGCGTAATTAAAAAAATAAAGACATTTAAGTTTTGTTTGGAGCAAAAAAAAAAGATGAAAGTTTTATAAACTAAAATATTGCGTAAATTGAAGATTTGTAAATTCTATTGCATAAAATAAAATTCTATAAAAATAACTTTACATAAAATACTAAAATTTAGGGGTAAACAGATGGCCGCGTTTTTTTTTTTCAAAAGGTATATTACCTATCTATTTCATAAATTATAATAGCAAAACGTCGTTCGCACTATAATTGTTGCGGGCCTGGATGCTTAATAAGCAAACAAAAGACTTCAGATATATAATTTTTTTAAATTACCGAAGGATAATGAAAAGTGAATTTATTTCGTTTTTCTGTTAGATATGTACTTATAGCGAAAAAAGTTGTTGTTGTTTTTATTATTCGCTCGAAAGAGCAGGCAAAGGAACTATGCCATACAGCCTTGTCTTTTTTATTTTGAATATATAGAATTTCACTGCTTCACAATACGTTGATGCGTCGCATTGTGCAGCCCTTAGGAGATTTTGACGAAAACTTGAGCCAGCTTTTACATATCAAATTCCACTTCATACTATTATTTAAACTATAAAATTAAAATTTTAATATTTGAGTTCATGGGCGCAAATAAAGATCATTCCAGAATAGCTGATAAACTTTTACTGCGTATGCCTGCTCACAACTCAAAATTTTTTCATTCCTCCTTTTGTGTCAAAGCAATCAAATTATGGAACTCGCTTCCTTTAACAATTAAAAAAGCCCAAAGCATTGAGTCTTTCAAAAATGTGGTTAAAGATTATTATTTAAATATGTGTTCTACTTAATATATTTTATTGTCATATCTACTTTTCTTGATAAGGTTTATGTATATGATATTTAGTTATAATGTATTACAGAAATATTTATAAAAGTGTATTTATTCTATGTATGTATATGTAGGTATATATGTATATGTATGTGTGTATTTGTTTATGTGTATATGTATATATAATATTATTTATTTGATTATTACATTTTCTTATATATTGTACCTATATACCTTGTACTTTTAATATATGCTTGTTTATCTACTATTTATACACACTTCTATATATTTAAATAAAAATTATCTCCTTCACCAAGGTTTGCCTGGAAGAGATCGCTGTTTAGCTATAAGGCCACCTAATTGTATATTCGTTGATAAATTTAAGTTTGCTGTGTTGTGTAGTGTTTTGTGTGCAATAAAGAGTATAAATAAATAAAAAAATATATTAATACAGGAGCAGCAAACCGCCGCCGGTCAAGTTTCCGCTAAAACTCCTTAGCGAAAAAGGAATTACGTAATCATTTACTACAGAAGTAATACCTGAGTACTTTATTACAAACTTAGTTGAAATTTACTTCACTACCCAAATACATACTTACATACTTATTCTTGTCTTTTTGTAATTAAAATATTTTAAGTTAAAATTACACAAAATACCGAAATTAAAACATTGTTTAGAAGATTGTGAACTAAATAGAATACGATCACATTTCTGTTAGGAATCGTATTTTGGGTTTATTTGTTGTTTATTCTATCTACCTATTTCTTACGAGCCAAGCATCGCGATTTCCGACGAATTGCCTTGCAAGTTGCATGCGTTGGGCATCACAGAACTCACATAGTAGCGGAAATATAGTCGATCAGTTAGAATAGGTACTTTACCTAAGTAACTTACCATTTCGCAAAGTATTTTTTTACTCATTATTAACAGCCCTTATTAACCATGGAAAGTTTGTTGTGACGTAGGAAGGATAATAGATATAAAGTAATACGAACACACCGATAAAGTTTTATTTAGCTTGCGTTTGCAATTTATCTGATTAATAATAATTACGTAGGCTATTAAAACGTCGGCAAGCAGTCAACATCAAAGGAGTGTAACTTCTGTACGTAGTAATATTATTTATTCTGTGGTATAGAAAGCGAGTTTGCGAGCAAGAAGTGAATAGCGGTGACGCCATTTGCAATCCCATTCTTTAACCGCACTGGTAGTATTGTATAATATCTTTCACCTTAAGTATTAACATAAAAAGAGTGGTTGGGGACACACTTGTAAAACAACTATGATTGCATAAGATAGGATAAAAGTAAAAAGTAAAATTGCAGCCTATTTACGTCCCACTGCTGAGCACAGGCCTCCTCTCATTTCTGACAGGGTTTAGGGCAAGAAAAATGTCCGCTGTGCTGCCCCAATGCGTTGGCGAACTTCACATGTCTTCGAAATATTTATTTTGTTTCTTAATGTTTGTTTTTATTTGTTTTGACATGCAGGTTTTCTCACAATGTTTTCTTTCACCGCGGAGCATGTGGTAAATCAGCACTTCAAATTGCAATTAACAATTTCATTGGTGCCGGCGGGGATCGAACACGGGTTACTCGTGTACTGTGAAGCTTACAGCGAGCGCTAACCATCTGAGCCACCACGGCTCTTAAGATAGGATAGGGTTTATGATATTAAATTGATAAGAGCTTTTATATTTTAACTCAATATAATAGCTCTTTAGCTTCTAATATAATAGTAGAGTAATTTATACGAAGTTAAATTTATTGCAATGTATTGAAATATTTCTTCTTAACTAATTTCAGCTAAATGAAACAAGCACAGTTTATTCAACATACGTCTATGGGGCATCATTTATTTTTTCTTTTCCACTGAACGTTATGTATGATGAAATAAAAGCATCAACGTTATTAGAATATTTATATTTTAGTATGGTGATGATATTTTTTTATGTCATCAAAACATTTATAGTTTTTCCAAAATTGGTCGCTGAAGCATTGTTACGACTCCGACATATTTATTCATTTTATCCAAGAGTGAGAATAATAATAGCGGAAACAAAAAGAAGGAATCCTTCCCCAAAAGCACATATTGACGTTAAAAATTTTTACGCTTTAGTATGGAAGCAGCATAGAGGTATTACTCGTATTCCTCAAATTATTACAGAACTGCCAAGATATTTGAGAATTGATATTAAACAAGACTTAGTTTGGCCTGTGTTTTACCATAGCCCTACTTTAAGGAAAACATCTAATCCATATCAAAGATGGCTATGTAACTATATACACTTGGATTACAAACTACCTGGTTCAAGGTTTTTTGTCGGTTTACAGTGTCAAACACATTTATATTATATAAAGTCTGGAATTGTTGAGCTGATTTCCAATGACGATGGTATAACACCTATTATATCAGTTACCAGTGGGACCATTTTCGGTGATATCAGTTTTTTTCTACCACCGTTGGAGCGGAAAGTTATTGTTCGCTGTCTGAGTTATTGCGAAGTATTTTATATAAATCGTGCAGATGTTCTTAAGTCCCTGCATAAGTTTCCAGAAGACCGTAAAGTTATTTTACAACGTGTTAGAGACAAAATAAAGCATGCTCATACACTATTCACGTGTAAAAACAATGTAAGAGGCTTGGACAGGGCTGAAGACGAAGGGATTGCTTGGATTAAGAAAAGATGGTGGGAGATATCAAATGCTATTTCTCATTTTAATATAAAACAGGGACAGGAAAATGAAGCAAATTTTGGATTGTCAGAAGAAGAAGCAATTTATCATTGCGCTAAGTATATTGGACAGTTAGTACTTTGTACGGATACGCAGTTGAAAAAGAACTCATTGTTTGCCAGTGTCGATTTCCCTTTCATTTTGGTACCGAATTCTAATTTTAGTCTGGTGTGGCATAAAATTGTAATGGTCACAGTTTCACTTGTTTTGATTCTTTATCCACCTAATATAACTAGAGCATATATACCGACATGGTTCTATTTCTTTCAATTATGGACTGATTTCATATATACTTCGGATTTATGTGTGTCCCTCTTAACTGCTACCGAAAGTCAAGCAAAAATTCGTGTAAACTTTGCCACAGTAATGCTTGCACGCTTTAAATGCTCACGATTTTTCTTTGATGTCTTATCTACTATATGGGTTGAGCATTTAGTGACACTTCTAGGATATGCTGAATATTATTATCCGGTACAATTTAATCGGCTCATAAAAGTATATATTCTGTTTTCCAAGTGGAGCATTGGAAGAAATCACTATATATATGTATTTTTCAATGTATGCTTGATTCATTTTATATTTGTCTATGTTTTAAGTTATTTAATGTTTGAATTAATTCAAATATTTCCTGAATTAAATGTATTTTATTTTTTTGGAAAACAATTCTGCATATCAGATAATGCTAAAAGAAGTTGTACTTACAAAGTCAAACACGTCTTCCAAGTCTTTACTTCGTGGCTTTTAGAATATCTCTTTTCTGAATTTCCACCTCTGAAATTAGTAGATATTTATGTGGCAATGATAATCACTTATGTAGGATTCTTGATCTTTCTTTACTGTAAGTCAGCTTTAATTGGAACGTTTCATGCCAACAATAAAGAGGAATCTAACTTTCAATACTTCGTGACAAACATCAAAAAACATTACAAGCAATCCAAAATACATCCGGATCTTCTAAAACGACTAGATCGGTATTTAATATGTCATTGGAAATATTACAAAGGAATGGATGTTTTATATCCCAATCTATTGCAAAATGAGCCCTATGATATATACTGGAAAGTTCACGGTGAAGTTGCTGAAAAAATAATAAGGAAATCACGAGCTTTTTTGTATGCTGATCCCTCTCTTATTAGGGAGCTCGCCTACAACGCTAAGTTCTTAATGCTTCCGAAAAAAGCGGCGCTTATTATTTTTGGTATTCAACCCAAGAATGTTACCTGGCTGGTGCAAGTTAGTACAAAATACTTATTATAAATTATACTAATTAAATAGGTTTTAACCAAGCTCTAGTCTTGCTTTTAAGTATTTATTCTGTATAAGAAAGAAACAAGAAAAATATTTTAATAGATTTAGTACTGTAAATTAATTGCCAATATTTTTATATTTTTATAAATAAATATTAGAGAAATTTAATCTATTTTGAATATTATTTAACAGTGGTAGAGCCACGTGGCAGCTTTAGCTATCGCACGGATGGGCCGGCTCGAATCGGGGTGGTACCACGACCTCACAGAAAACCAGCGTGAAGTAGAGGTTTACCTCTGCGTTTCGCTTGGTAAGTGCAGGTGGCCGGAGGCCCTTTTTACTGGAAATGAGGCATTCCATCTTAGTCCTCACGGGTGACAACGCATCTACATTTTGATTTATAATAGAGGATAGATGTGGATGTCTATGGGCCGCAGCAACCACTTACCATCAGGTGGACTGTGTGGTCGTTTGTCAACTTTATATAAAATAAAAAAATAAAAATATCGTAGATACATTTCCTCTTTTCATTTATTTCTAAAAAATGATTTTAATATTTAATATATTTCTAACATAGGGCTGTATTAAATGCGAATATCATAACGAGAAAGGTGAATTACTTAAAACATTCTACCAACCTGGAGATATGCTAGCATTTACTTCGGCATTTTTTGGAATACCGTCACTAAGAACTTACAGTGCAAATACTGATTGCGAGGTAATTATAAATTGTTCATATGTAACAAATCCTTTCCTATATTTAACCAACTAAAATTTAACATTTGATGTCATATTTTTTATAAGATGAGGGTAACAAACAAGCACACAGTCCACCTGATGGTAAGTGGTTGCTGTGACCCATAGACATCTACATCTATCCTCACCTACGAATCAAAATGCAGATGCGTTGTCAACCATGTGCCTCGTTTCCAGTAAATAGGGTGGGTCTCCGGTTCTCTACACTCACCATATGAAACACAGCAGCATTGAGATGCTATTTTACGCTGGTATTCTGTGAGGGCGTGGTAATTTATCTTATATATCTTATTCTTCTTAGGTTCTTTTTATCAATATAACCGAGTTCTTCAATATTACAAAACGTTACCCAGCCGAGCACGCGCGTTACGAGGATTGTTTAAATAAATTTAAACCAAGATTTGAGAAAATCATTCAGAATCATGTACAGAAACATAGAGATGTAAGTGTTTCATATGAAATTTCAAATAAAAATGAAATTATATAATATTTATAATCGTCATCATTACAGCCTATCACAGTCCAAGGTCCAAGTCCAAACACAGTTTTTTGTTCTAGTTTTTATTAGGAAAGCTGAACGCACATTTGTCAGCACCGTACGCGCCGTACGTGCCATACGCACCTAATTTTAGATTTCGTTGTATGAAATTATATGAAACCTCGCACATCACACCCGCACTAAACGCGCCGAATTTTATAAAATGCTGTAGGTATCCGAATATTGAAGGACGCATGTTGATGACGTCATGTAATGCGGCGCGTTCGGCGCATACTGATACTCAGTGTTGTCTAATGCTGCCAACTTAGTGGATTTTCCACTAGTGTTTTCGTCTTTTGTTTTGAAATATATTTTTACTTTATTTCAGGTTTTAACATAATGACGCTACAAATATGGCAGCTACTTATGGCGCGGCGCGTTTTGAAATCACGTGATAATTTTTTAATTTTTGTATATTTTAATTAATGCGTAATTAATTATACATAATTTAAAAAATATTGCGTCGATTATCTATATGAATACTTAGTGATAAATTATTTAAACACAATAAAAAAATGATAAAACTATTTTTACGGATTTTATCGCGTTTAATTAACTTATTTTATATTTCCGACGTTTCGGTTGCTTTCCAGCAACCGTGGTCACGGGGGACTAAGGTGATTGACGTCCCGATGTCAAAGTTAACCCGGAGTACCTTCAGCTTTTTAATTATTAATTTTGGTCCGATCTACGCAGAATGAACTAATTGTGTCTTGAAGTCTTGCAGTGGTATGCTTGGGTTTTTTTTTTTTTTTTACTCGCGTCTGTTGTCAATGATTCCGTTCCGTTATTACGTTGACATTGGCGTTGGACATTTGATTTGGTTATTAGTTTTTGGTATTATTTGTATATTTATGGTATTAGTTGCGTAGATCGGACCAAAATTAATAATTAAAAAGCTGAAGGTACTCCGGGTTAACTTTGACATCGGGACGTCAATCACCTTAGTCCCCCGTGACCACGGTTGCTGGAAAGCAACCGAAACGTCGGAAATATAAAATAAGTTAATTAAACGCGATAAAATCCGTAAAAATAGTTTTATTCAATGTGTAGTGTTCGCGTAAATATTAGAAATCATTATAAAAAAATGATAGTTAATTATAATTCAAAAACCCAATTATACCTGATTACTTAATTATCAATAAAAATACTTACCTCAAACATACAACAAGTCTTTCCTCTAGTTCAGTTGGCCTTCTAAATATTGAGTTTTCCATAGAGAGATATCGTTTTCATATATGTAGCAATTCTTGACAATCCTTACATGTTAAATTCAAATATCTAAAAAAATTGTTCATCTATTAAGTCTTTAGATAAAGGATAATATTCTTTATACAACTGCTTTTTAAATTAATATAATGAATCCAGAATCTTCTTTTTCTTCGAATTTTATTTTCTTCTTCCTCTGCTAATAAGCAGGCTATAACAATATGTTTTTTTCCATAGGATCCGAGTGATTCCGAGGAATCAGTGTCACTATACCGTTTCACACTAGTAGTTGGAAAAAAACTGCGAAACTTGCTGGCAATACAAAAAAATTGCGTACGACGCGAACGGCGCGTACGTGCAAATATGCGAGGCCATGACTAAAATACGGCGCGTACGGTGCTGATAGATATGCGTTCAGCTTTAGTCTGCTCTTTTCCTAGCGTGTTTTCCTCTGTAGCCTCTTACGACACCCACGGGACAATTTTGGGTGGTAAATATTCTTGGTAACTATACGATAAATAAATATATAAGACTACCTCTACGCTTAATGGCATTACAAGTGATATTAAAAGATACATTTAAAAAATATTATATGAAAAAACTGTGGGTGTATGTAGATCTCTAGTGTGTTTTAATGGACTTCTTGCCTTAGTTTTTAGTAATACAATTATTTTATTTGAATTTACAGTACCAGAAAAAAATTCGTCAGCGAATTTTTCATTCTAGACTTTCAGTGGTGGACAGACGGCGGATAAATCGTTATGCAAGAGGTTTTCAATATTTAACAACTATCAATATAGCACCTGCTTCGAAGTTAGCATTTTTATTATAATCTATTACTATTCTTTATACTAGATTGTACAATCAGTGTGTGTTGCCAGTGATGAAGTATGGATCTGAGATGTGGTACTTCAATGTTCTCCGTATGAGGAAGCTAAAGGTCGCTCAGAAAGTCTTGGAAATAGCTATGCTCGGAGTTTTCTTCGGGCTTATCTTAGAAATAAGGATATCCACAGTAGAACTAGAGTAAACGGTATGTCCCAGTGGACCATATAGCTTGAAGAACTGACAACCGATGAGGAAGAAAGAAGCGAAGTGTAGGGAGGCCCCCAGTAGATGGAGTAACCTAAACCTGGTAGGAGATGCAGGAAGTCAATGGATGCAGGTGACTCAGAACCGCGGTTTATGGAGTTTCTTGGGGGAGGCCTATGTTCAGCAATGAACTTGTGAAGTATTTATTAGCGATACTCGATTATTTTATTAAAACTATGTAAGATAACCGTTGGTGTTTACTTTTGCGTTATGCGAAACGGTGATGATTTTTAAGAAATTTTTATTAAAAACTGTTATAAAATAGATTAATCTAGTCTAGACTGTTTCATATTAAAAAAGAAACAAAATTTTAGATTACTTTATAATTTTACAAAAAAAATGTATGGTAAAACTACTAAGATACTTTACTAGAGACTTTAGATACAATAGTTATTGAATTAAACTAATTTTTACAGATTTTTTCCCGTTTAATTGAACTTTTTAATTCCCGACGTTTTGGGTGCTTTACAGCACCCATGGTCACGGGGTTACTAAGGTGTTTGACGTCCTGATGTCATAGTTACCCGGCTACCTTAAGTTTTTGAATATGAATTTTTAGTCCGATCTACGCAGAATGAGCTTAAAGTATCTTGGGTTTGGATTTAATTTTATTAATTATAGGATCCCAAGCAGATGGCAGCACCCATCCATCTTCTCTATTGAAATAAGGATGTTTTTTTTTTAATTTCAATAGCCTCGCGAATCATCCTTGGTAGGAATCGGTGTTCCTTTGCGAAGATTTGTGGTCTATCAAATCTAATGTAATGGTTGGGACGATCTTGAACATGTTCACACACTGCAGACTTCCCGGAAAGTCGGTGCTTCAAGTCAGCTATATGTTCTTTCAAGCGCGTTTTTATAGATCTTTTTGTTTGTCCTATGTAAGAGAGACCACATTCATAACCCAGCTTGTACACTCCTGCATCTTGTAGAGGGACATTACACTTGACTGGTGGTAAAAACTGACTAATCTTCTTCGGCGGCTTGAAATATGTTTTAATGGAAGCTCGCTTCAAGATGTAGCCAACCTTTTCTGTGACTCCTCTGACATAGGGTAGTACAGCAGGCACACGCTCGACTGTGGCCGGCTTCACTCGGTCACTGTGACGTAGCCGCGGGGCCCGAAGCTTGTTGCCTTGCAATAGTTGCTCGACGTGCTTAAACTCGACGGTCAGAGGTATATAATATGTCACAGATCTCTCGTGCTCTCTGAGACAAAGATTTTCCCACGGTAGCTAACTGTGATGGATGATGGCGCGAATCACCATTTAAATATCTTTTGGTATGGGTCTTTTTCCTATACACAGTGTGAATAATAGTGTTATCAGGATTTTGGATGACTAAAACATCTAAGAAAGCTAAAGAATTGTTTGCCTCTAACTCCATTGTGAATAATATTTTAGGGTTTATGGAATCAAAATGGTCTAAAAATGCAGTTACTTTGTCAGATGGTAAAATTGTGAAAGTATCGTCTACGTGACGCTTGTAGAATCTTGTATTTACAGGAGCAATAAGAAGGACTTTCTACTCAAGGTCCTCCATGAATATGCTGGCGACTATGGGAGATACAGGCGAACATCGCCACACCATCTACTTGCTTGTAGAACTCTTCCTTCCACAATAAATAGCCAAATGTGAGGCAGTGTTTGAGTAATACTGCATATTTTGTAGGCATGTTGTTATCTTCTAGCTTCCTAGTTACAATTTAGATGCAGTGTTCTATAGGTAAACATGTGAATAGTGACTGAACATCAAAACTGACCATACTTTCATTGTCAGCGAGATGTAGGTCTTTTATCTCACTAACAAAATGGTAAGAATCCTTTGTGTGTACTCTAGTATGTTCTCTCAGTGGTGGCAATATTTTTGCCAAGTGTTGAGCCAACTTATAAATTGGTGAATCGATTTGGCTTACTATTGGATGTTGTGGAGCATTTGGTTTGTGTATTTTCGGTAACTTTTGGTATTGTCAAATTCACGTCGAGATTTAATTTTTCGGAGTATTTCCTTATTAAGTCGGTATTTGTTTTAAGTGTAATAGTTGTAGGGTATATTTTGACCTTTTTGTATGTACTTACGTCCGATAAAAGTTGTTGTATTTTGGAATTATACTCTGACGTGTCCATTATTACCGTAGCATTTCCTTTATCCGCGCGGAGAAGCGTGAGCTCTGGTCTGTTGCGTAAGTTGTACAACGCTTTAATCTCGTCTTTGGTGAGATTTAGTTTTGGTGCTGAACTTCGACGTAACAAGGACAAAATGTTTGAAGTATAGCCTCTAAATCTTCCTTACCAATATTATTCTTAAACAGACAATCCTCAACACTACAGATAATTTCCTCGTATGGAATTTTTGGCGGTGTTATTGCAAAATTCAAGTCTTTCGACAATACTTTTATTGTAGGTTCGTCCAGTGTTTCTTTTGACGGATTATAGACCGTGTGTTGTTTGCGTCTGTAGTCAATGATTGCGTTTCGTTTCTACGTTGACATTGATGTTTAGCATTTGATGTGATTGTTAATTTTTGGTATTTTTCTATTTGTTTATTTTTTCATTCATAATATTTCGATGTTTCGCGTTTGTTTAAAGTTTCAATGCAATTATTACCAAAATTATTAATATTTAAAACTCCTAAAATTATTAAAAATTCGTAAACATTAGTTTCATTTAATGTTTAGTCTTCGCGTAAATATAAGAAATCATTATACAATAGTTCTTGTAACGAACACAACCTGGAGATTTTATAAAAACAGATATTCTTCTATATAGATTCCCAAATTTTACTTTAGATCGTTTCTCATCACATTAGCCTGTGATTGTTTGACCACATCTGGTGTTGGCACCTCTACGTCTAAGCGCTTATTTTGCATGTGGGCAGTTAATAATCAGCCTATGAACATTCCTCATATAAAGACACAAGATCATCCGGGCATTTCTCTTATTTCTCTGTTACGTTACATATGGGACAAGATGCGTGATAAATCTAAAAAAGTATACGACAAAAAAGAAAACGTTACTTATTCCAAATTAAAATTAGTTTATGGTTTATATTTTGATATTGTAGTGTCGGTAATAAGAGGTGACAGAGGAAAACAAACCAGGAGAGGAGTAGCAGCAGCCTCTTAATAACAATCAAAAAGTATAAACACTGTGGTTGCTAACCCGCTTGCCAGGCGTGGCAACAAAAATATCTCTCCTATGAGGAAGGCCTGTGTTCAACAATGGACTTTTGATACGCTGTAACGGAGGTCGCATACTAATGGCGCATATTTGTCTTACAGATTCATGCGCTATTGGATGCTTCTTAGAGCGGTGATTGTATGTGTATCAATAATATCTGCAGCATTACAAGGTACCTGCTTATATTGCTTAATAATCATAGAATATTTTAATTATCTTAAGACAGACATACTTACGTCGATCCGTACTGACAAAGCCTAACGGATCTGTAAGCTGAATTGGTAAAGAGCCGGTTATATACCTCGAAGAACTGAAAGGGGTGAGGTAAAAAGGCAGCCTAGAGTCTTGTCTAGAGTGACAGCCTCATCGGTAAGCGGAGGGTTGAGTGGCCACCGCTTAATTAGATGGAGTGATGACCTAGGAAGATATGTAGAAAGTTAATTGATGCAGTTGGCTCCGAACCTTGTTTTGTGCCATTACTTGACCGAGGCCTATTTTGCATAGTGGACTTGTAAAAGGTTGTAGTAACGATGATGAGATTCGCATTAGGTTTCATATAATATAATTCAGTCCATAGGCAAGTAAGTGCTGACTGAATATTGCTATCAGATTAACGATTTTCAAGCTATTTCAGCGCTTACTGGTCAAAACAAGGTATAAATAACTTTTAAAAAGTAAATCCCGGTTTCTTAGTTTCTAAGATAATTACCGTAACGGTTAACATGGTAATATTATGTCGTAATATTGTGACGTGATTCTGTTATGGATCCTATCATCATATCTGGTTTAACGATGTTTGCTGTTATCATTTTAGCTTACTGATGGTTTGCGTTAAATTATATTGGCCCTGCAGTCTTGGATATTTAGACTGTTAAAATTGTAAATATATTTCCATTTTAATTGTTTAATATTTAGAAAGATTTTTCCATTTTACTGGAAATGAGGCATTTCATCTTAGTCCTCACGGGTGACAACGCATCTGCATTTTGATTCGCAAACAAAGATAGTTGTAGATGTCTATGGGCCGCAGCAACCACTTACCATCAGGTGGACTGTGTGCTCGTTTGTCACCCTTATCCTATAAAAAAAATATTCACCACGTTATTGTTCAGGCAGGTCGGTGAGCACAGAACTGAGATGCTCAAGTAACTCTGCTCCCAGTCCAAGGGTTGTAGATTAGTGGTTATTGAATGGTTTTTGGGCCATAATTCCGTCATCAGAATTTTGATTTGAAGATGTCAATCATGAAGGTGTGTTAATGTTTCACCTTACAACCCATGCCTTGAGTTTATGATTGAGTGCTTTAGTGACTTGGGAATCATTGACCATGTTTATGCTTTTTAATCTTTTTTACGGAATCATACTGTTACAAGAATTACTTTAATGTTAGAAATCTAGCTAGATTAGAAATTTATAATAAATTCGTTATGTAACTTTTTATCGGCCAAAGAAAATAAAGGAAAGAGAGTATCTTTTCAAATTATTTGTTTAATCAAATAATTATTTAAGTTAATATTTGTAGTAAATTATATGCCATTTTAATTTACGTAGTCATTTATGCTTGATTTCTTTTTAAATTATTTGTTCTTTATTCTGTTTTATGCCAGGTGGAAGTGGTGCATACTGGAGGTGGCCACTGATGATAATAAGTGCATTTTGTGACTGTATATCTATCGTCGATATAGTGTTAAAGATGTTCGTAAGTTGAAAGATTTTTTTAATATTTCGAGCTAAGCCTTAAAATTTCTGGTCCAGGCCCATGTCTGGCTCAGGCCATGACAACTTACTACGGGCTGAAGAGATGAAAATGAATGATGAAGAGGGTACAAGAATAAGTAATATATTGAAACTAACCTAGTTTTTATTACAAAAAACAGATGTTACTTTATTATTACTTAAAAAATATCATACATTGAATTTTATTTCACTTATTTCAGATCCCCTATTACGATAAACGAGGTCTACTTATTACGGATATAAGAGCTTGTATAAAACACTATCTCGTCCGAGGCTTTTTAATGGACGTGATAGGAGTAACGCCATTTTACGAATTATTCATGGTATATTTAAATAAAGATATTGACGAGAACGATGCTCTACTCATTAATACGTTAAGCAGATTTGCTCATTTGTATTTAGTAGTCGGATACTTTGATTATCTGGCTGATACGCCAACAGTGGACATAGCTTTGATTATGGTTAGTAATGGCTGTGTTTTTACACACCTACTTAATTTAGCAAACTTCGAAAAGAGCAATGGCAGACTTTCATACATAAAATTAGTTGAGACGAAATGGTAGCGTCTATATACCAAAAATATCTTAAAATATTAAGCGTCAGTCCCTTAATAACTCTGTCAAAGAATTTTGTACTGAGAAGGCGTCAAAAAAAAGATATTTACGTTTGAACCTTTTTAGGTTATGTCCTATGTCACTTGGAAAAAGTCATGCTTCCTGTGGTTGTTTGATGTTAGCTTAATACATAATACATAATTGAGAGTTTTTAGATTATTGTATCTCTATTATATATTTGCATACTATAAATGTATATTTCTGGCATGGCTTCAGGGCTTTTGTACCATAGTGACATTCTCAGAAGGGCTAGAACCCAGAGCCGTAAAGCCAGTAAAAAAAACAGTGACATTTTATTTTAGCTAGTGTTGGCATAACGTTAAATGGAATTGTTACATAGTACTATGATTGAGATAATGTATTATTGTAGGAAATTCTTTGTAAGAGACTTATTTTAAGCCATATCACTTTTATTTTTGTTATTACTGATAGTACAGTTATTACTAATAATAACTTAATATAAAAATATTATGTGTGTTGCGTTGGTAGTTTTACAAAGTGTATACGAAAATACTATGAATATACTAAATGGCAACATTTGAATAGAGTAAAATGATAATAAGTCATTTGATATTCCCAAAAATGTTTTTTTTTTCTGTGGCTTTAATTAAAATACATTTTTATTTGAAAAATCATAGAAAAATAATAAAACTCATTTTATATATAACTTATTTCTAGACGCTATAATTTTTGTCAACTATTTTTCTGCCATTGCTCTTTGTGTTATATTTATGTTGTTTAGTTTTCAATTAATTTAGATTTAATGTTCAAAGATTTAAAAATACTTGTTAGAGACGCTAGAAAATAATTATTTATTTGTACAAATGGATCCACGCTACCTCGCCTATTAATAAGGACCTCGCTTTCATATAATACCAGTGTAAAATAACAGTACGAGTATAATGCTGCTGTTTCGTGTGGTGAGTGACGAGAAGCGGTGAAGACCTATTGTAGGAGTATGTGAACAATGTCAGCGTGAAAAGGTGCACAGGTGCAACATATCACGTTGGGGTACACCAACCAATCAATGTAGAGTCCTTGTTATGGGTTGACCAGTAGCCCGTTAATGTACATTTTTATAACTACCGCTTAGATTAAACAAACATAATTAATAATATATCTTTAAGTTGAAGTGGTAACAATTGCCGATTGTAATAACGCCTCTAGAAGTCGAGTACATAATAAATACTTTTCACAGTAAAATTTAAATGTGCACAGTCATCTTTTTCGTTTGAAATTCATCTTTTATTCAATTTTTATTCATCAGGTATTAAAATGGAAAGTTATTTCTATACTTCTAATGTGTGCTGCTAGTCACTATTTCGTCAAGAAATGTATCTATTTTAATTGGGATAGCTCGGGCACATTTACTAATGCTACGCTCATTAGCAAGTGTTGGCTTCCGACTTCAACTGATATTAATCAATACCAGCTGACTCAAGAAAACATTCGCATGGTTAGTTACATCTATTGAAACAATACACACTGTATTAAACGATAATTTTTTTTGACCATATTAAAAGCATATTATAGCTGTCAACTTCTGTGGTCTGAAGATTTCTTTGTCATCACGTTTCTAATGTTTTGCAGTAATCGTAATAAATTTAAGGATTGTATCAAAACATGGATATCTAATTTTTAATAATGATATCTATTTTCTTAGATTCTTTATAATATAGTAATCTTCTTCAGCTTCATGAATTCGTAGAATTTAACTGATGGACATAAGCCTGTCCACGTAATGTGGATTTCCATAATTGCTAGAATATTTAGGCTGGTATAGATATTCCTGCGAATGAATTATCCTGCATTATCACGATGATATTTGACGCTGGACTTTATCTATCAACAGATCTTTGCGCAAAGCTTAAATTTAGCTCAAAGTGGTCTCATGCGAATTGATTTAGGAATGTTTAAGATAAGCCGGGATAATATCAGCACTGCTTTGGTTCTGCTATCGCTTGGATGTTCTTTCTGGTAAATTTTTTATCACTTTTATAGTTTAAGCTTTTAATGTTAGACTTTTAAGACCACGTGGCTTAGCGTTTCGGTTTATTCTACTTCATCAACACCAAAGAGTCCAACGCTGAACATGTGCCTCTATTGTATTGGCCGTTTATCTTAAACGTCACGCGTGGCAACCGACTTGGCTAGTTTAACATGGAATATGTTCATAATCTTACATAGCAAATATAATTGTAGATGTACTTGCGTATAAAAGTATTGTGCCTGGGTAGGTAACAGCCTTTTACCTATTTCTAGCCTATAGTAGTGCTTGCACTGCTATGTTCTACTACAAAAGGTTTTTATAATTAATAATTAATGTTAGACTTTTAAGACTACGTGGCTTAGCGTTCAGGTTTATTCTACTTCATCAACACCCAAGAGTCCAACGCTGAACAAGTGCCTCTATTGTAGTGAGGGTTTACCTTAAACGTCACGCGTGACAACTGACTTGGCTAGTTCAACATGGAATATGTTTATAATCTTACATAGCAAGTATAATTGTAGGTGTACTTGTGTAAAAATGATAATTTTAAATTTTAACAGTTTACCAATTTTTATTAACATTCTTGTACAGGTTCGTGTTATGTTATCGTCTCACGCTAGTTGTTTTAAACACTCGCAGTAATACGCTTTTTCAACATGGCGTATTTCAACTCAAAAGATTTCTTGAGGCAGAAAGAATTGAAAAGGATGTAATTAATTCTGCTCAGAGACATTTTATGTATGTGTGGCAAAGGTAAAAAATAAATATAATATTATATAAAAATTAATATTTGTTTCTTCGTATTTTATGTACTGCTATATCGTTCATCAGATTGCGCTAAAACTTTGTCAACAGACTGCTTGCACTTCCGCGACTGTTATAAGCATATTACAATTACCTTACAGTATGATTCGCGTAGCATACCGACAAATTTATTTGATATTTATATTTTATTCAATTTCAATGAATTTATTCTCTTTTTTTATAGGATAAGGGTAACAAGCGGGCATACAGTCCACCTGATGGTAAGTGATTGATGTGACCCATAGACATTCAACTACGAATCAAAATGCAGATGCGTGGTTAGCCGTGAGGACTAAGATGGAATGGCTCTTTTCCAGTAAAAAGGGTACCATATGAAACACAGCAGCATTAAGCTGCTATTTTACGCTGGTATTTTGTGGGAGCGTGGTCCTTCCCCAGTAGAGCCGACGCACAGAAATCGAAATTACGATTTCTGAGAGCCGACCCATTCGAACTACAACTATACAATTAATATAGCTACAGCATGGCTCTACCACTTTTTAAATTTATTATTACTATTCTAAATTAAACATGAATTGTAAATTAAAAGTATTTAATTCTATATACAAAAACTGATCACTACCTCGGTTTGGCTTTTTCAGGACTAAAGGAATAAATATACAGCATTTGATGAATGAACGCATTAGTGTCGTTTTTAGACAGGATTTAAATTACTATTTTTTTAAAAAGTACGTATTTCTCCTTAACCGTTTATAATATTATATTTTCCACTTATGCTGATAAATTCTTTAAGTTTAATGCAATATAAATTCCTAAATCCCTGCGTTGGTAATAGTATAGTGATACGGCGTGCAGCTGCCTATCCAAGAGTAGGATCTTCCCGGCCCATGAAGGAAGATCCCACAATCAGATACAGGTCGGGCCTCCTAAAGCCAAAGTGGAAAATCTCTAATTACAATAAACAATAAGGGGGAGCGTTCTATCCTACTGCCATTCAACAGGGAGAATATTAAAACCGAGCTTACCTACCTATATCCAAGGCGACTGGTCCCTCGCGGTTCGGTCAGGTCGCGTGCGGTTGTATGGTGCATGGGAAGTAAGGGTCAGTGATGTGTATCTGTGTGTGACTGAGTGTGGTAGACCTTATGAGACCGTTGCCGTCGGCAGCAGCTCGGACTTCAGCACCGCTCCAAGTGGTGGTAATCTTCCGCGGAGTCGTCCACAGTCACTTTCTTCGTTCGTCACGAGGACAGTCCTTAACTTTATCGCACAATTAACTAACTTCCAGAAGCCACTAACTCTAATTTGTTATAAAGCGTAACACCCAACACAAATACAGAATGTCGGTCTATACGAAATCCCGTTACTATAAGCAAAAACGTGACACACCGCACGAACACGAATGTCCGGATCAAAGTTCAATACCGTTTCGCGTGGCAACAATTATTTCTAGAATATCAAATGCCGCAGTAGTAGCTAATATTGTCGAATACCCTTATACAGATTCTGAGTTAGACACAAGAAGTCCCGGGAAAAGCTCTCAAACAAGGAATGCGCGATACGAATGCTAGACAGTATATTTACTAGGCGCGCCTAAACTATTCCGCGTTTCCGCACAAAAAAAAAATGACAGCGTGCTGTCCTAAGCACAGCTGGCAACCGACCCCTGCGCTCGCGCGCCCTCGCCACATCGCTCGACCGAACGTCAAAACCGGTATGGCGTCGAGCCGAGCGCCCTCTGGCGTCAAATTCCGAAACCAGCGTTCGGGCGTGAACATATAGTATGATTTTTTTTATAGGATAGGGTGACAAACGAGCACGCAATCCACCTGATGGGAAGTGGTTGTTATCAATCTTATTTCAAAATTACGTGAAGTAATTTTGGCCGTTTGTTGTACATAAAAGGCAAGGACTATGAAATTAAACCATTATTTAAAAAGTATTTGTTTTATTTGCATAACAATACAACATTATATCAATAGAGATTTAAAAAAATCACACCCCTCTTCAACATCAACATCATAACAAAAAATCAACAAACTTTTTAATATCTACCTCCTTTTACGCGGCAAAACAAAAACGAGTTAAACCAATCGAAAACGTTCAATTCAAAAACGTTTGAAAACGTTAAATTACGGCCTTGTGTTTAATCTATGTTGTTCAAAGATAAAACAGCGTTTACTTTTTAATTTAATACTGAATTGCGATTACTTGCCAAATGGGCACGCGAGATCGGCTGACACACGGGCATGCATAAGCTGTCAACCCCCTGCGGGTGTCATTACATCGATAATAAAACGTGTTTACTTATTTTGTATTCGTTTGTATATATTCTGGACTCTGACTGATTCAACTTTGGATAAAGTATTATTGATCATTTATCCAGGGATTCAACACTATAAAATTATTATTTTTATTATGTTATGTTTTATATGTTCAAATAAATAATAAAAATAACATAGCTTTTGTTTTAAAGGTATTTAGTTATTTTTTTAAATGCATGCAAAAACCACTAATCGAGTTACAATTATATCAGAACACTCGCAGCCCTCAACACATTATTACAAGGAGGCGAACAACTAGAGAGACAACTGGCAACCGCCTCCGTTCAGATGTATTTCTTACCAGGTCAAGAAATTGTAAGGGAGATGGACTTAGCTCCATGGGTGTATGTTGTCCATCGCGGCAAGATTGCTGTTAAGCGAGAGGGTGAAAAGTTGGCAATCCTAACGAAGGTTTATTTTTTTTTTACTTAAACCATTTGAAAATGACATTGTTTTTAGCTATAGGCATATGTGTAATAAGAACTAATAGTGATTCAATTCGGTAACTAGACGGAGCAACGATGGGGTGCGGTATGAAGGAGACCGGAGTCCCCCCCCCATGTACGCGATGTCTCCAGTAGTACCGGTCGGCTTCGCTTGCGTATCGGTACGCTCGTTTAGGAGTGTCACGTACACGGAATTAGTTGCACGCGTTTAGTGTTCACCCAACAACATGATATAACTCGGTTTTATTTTTATTATTTAATTAACTTGTTTGAAAATATTGGTATCTGTAACGAGGTTGCGTGCGTTGAATTAACAGAACAGAACCAACATATAATTTTAACCTGTTTTATTTATTCTGTTCAACCGCCTACCCAATTTTTTAAGCGGAATACCTGAGATACCGCTATATAAGTAAAATATAGTAAAATTTGGTAGGTGCAAAAGCACAAGTCTTTGTTTCCATCACGACAAATCAGGTGGAGCTGCGAGACATAATTAGTTTTGTAAAATAATTACTTTGTATCTTTGTATAGAAAAATAAATTATTACGAGGAATATAGATAAAATGTGTATGTTATTGTATGGTTTGTAAGGCCACACACTTTCAAGAAGGAAAGTTGTAGTTAGTGCGCACGTCAAAAAGAAAAGATCACCAAAGTTAAAAGTTTAATAAAAGTAAAATAGTTATAAAGTTAGAGTGGCAAATCTTTCCTTGAGTAGTTGGTGTTTAGAAGGACGGTTGTTGACGTTTGTCTGTTGCGAATTATTTGAGTGTGCGCATCGCTAGCCAGGGAGCGCACTTCATCCCATAGGTAATTGTGCATAGTTGGAAGGTTTGTAGTTCCTCAGCTGGAGAGTGGCGCCATATTATTTTTTGTAATTTTTGCTGATCTTCAGTAATCCATATACAGCGGTACATTTTTTCAATGTCCGCAGTGTAGGCATACCGGTAGGATCTCCATTTTAATATGAGGGCTTATATGTCCTTTTCTAGAATGGGACCCTTTTCTTGCAATTGGCTGAGATTGTAGCCGCTTGTATTTTTTTTGTCAGGCGTTAAAAACAACCCTCAGTTTAGTCGTAGTTTAATGTTACCGCAGTACTCCCTGGTTTTTTGTAGTGAAGATGACGTCAATGACGGTTTCATATGTCCCAGATCGATGTATTCTCGAATGAAATCGTTTCTCGAGTTGTAGGTACTGAGAGAGCTTTGTTTTTCCCAATTTTTCTTCGTAGTTAGGTACATATGGCATCTCAACGATGTATTTTCCATCTGGTGCGCGTTTCACTGTTTCCTTGTAATGGTTTTCGCAATAGTTAACCTTGGGCATGTCCTTGTCATCCTGAGTAATATCCTCATGCTCCCAGTATTTAGTCATCTCGTTGAGATTGACGAGGGTGACGTAACAGTTGAAAGTTTTCATCTTGCCACAGAGTACCCATCCTAAGTGCGTTTGTTGTGCAATAGGGGATTGTTTTTCTCCTTTCAAGACTCCATTCAGTATGATGTCAGAGTACACGTCGGCCCCGAGCAGCAGGTTCACGGGTCGTGCCACGTTGAACTCCGCATCGGCCAGTTTTAAGTTTTCTAAGTGAGGCCAGTTATCCGCTTTGAATGTTGATTTGGGAAAGTTATTTATGAGTTTTCTCATGATCAGTGTTTGCATCTCGAATGAGTAATCAGAGTGGATAGATTTGCAGGTAAGTTGTAGGCTTCCTGTACAGTCTCCCGATGCAGTATCAACCCCAGAAACCGTAGCGGTAAGTCGTGTTCTGATTAGCTTCGTTCTGATCAGTTGTGCGGCGCTCTCCGTTATCAGGTTCACTTGCGAACCTTGTGCGAAGTGTGACGTAGTTGCCGTTGGCAGTTAGCACAAGCAGCTGTACGGTGGTAAGAATGATCTCGATGTTGTCGTTAGTTAAGTAGTTGCAGTTAAGTTGAGCTGAAGTTCATGTTGATTGTTTAGTGATTGTTCCTCACGCCGTTAGTAGTTTCAGTAGTTGTAGGCGCATTTTTTTCTTTGTATAGTTATGCAACAGAGTGTGGTGTCTCTTATTGCACTCTTTGCAAGTTTTAGTTGATGTGCACTTAGCATTTTCGTGGCTATACAGGCAGTTTTTTTTTTATAGGAGAGGGGGCAAACGAGCATGCGGCTCACCTGATGGTAAGTGACTACCGCCGCCCATGAACAACTGCAACACCAGGGGAATCGCAGATGCGTTGCCGGCCTTTTAAAAAGGAGTACGCTCTTTTCTTGAAGGTCCCTAAGTCGTATCGGTCCGGAAAAATCGCTGATGGTAATCGATTCCACAAGGAGGTCGTGCGAGGAAGAAAACATCTTCTAAATCGCACAGTGGTGGACCGCCAATCATCCAGATGGTGTGGATGGTATCGGGAGTTCTGCCGCGATGTGCGTTCGTGAAATTTGGCGGCTGGGATTAATCCGAACAATTCCTCAGAGCACTCCCCATGGTAGATGCGAAAGAAAATGCAAAGGGATGCAACATCTCTTCGCAGTGCCAATGAATCGAGCCGATCGGAAAGGGCTCGGTCGTCGACAATTCGAGCCGCTCTGCGTTGAATGCGGTCAAGTGGAAGGAGCTGGCACTGGGGAGCCCCTGCCCAGAGATGGGAACAGTATTCCATGTGAGGCCGAACTTGCGCCTTGTAAAGTAGCAGGCGGTGTGCCGGCATGAAATACTGTCCCGCTCTGCTGAGCACGCCAAGCTTTTTAGAGGCCAATTTGGCCTTCCCTTCCAAGTGACCACGAAACTGCACGTCACTCGATATGTCGACTCCGAGGATACCGATACTGGCTGAGGCAAGAAGGGGAGTGCCTTGAAACTGAGGAGATACGACAAAGGGGTTCTTTTTAGCGGTAAACGCGCAAACTTGTGTCTTCTGAGGATTAAATTGGACTAGATTTAGTCGCCCCCAATCCGAGACTTTGTTCAGCAAAGACTCGACTTCAGACACAAGTTTGTTCCGGTACTCAGCGACGTTTTCCCGAGAAATATTGGCACGGCCGGTGTATAGAGCATCACCAGTGCTGTCATCCGCATAGCAATGAATGTTACTAGTTAGCAACATATCATTGATATGCAGAAGAAACAGCGTTAGTGATAGCACACAGCCTTGTGGAACACCAGCGTTAATAGGCTTGTAGTCAGAGCATGCACCGTCTACAACGACCTTGATGCTCCGATCTGCAAGGAAGCTGGTGATCCAATTGCACAATTTCTCGGGAAGCCCATAGGAAGGGAGCTTCGAAAGAAGCGCTTTGTGCCAAACCCGATCGAAGGCCTTCGCAATGTCCAGACTAACGGCCAACGCCTCCCCCTTGGACTCTACTGCCTCCACCCATCTATGGGTCAGGTAGACCAGAAGATCACCAGCTGATCGACCCCGACGAAAACCGTATTGGCGGTCACTAATCAGCTGGTGATCCTCAAGGTACCGGATGAGCTGGCAGTTAATAATGGATTCCATTATTTTGGAGAACAAGGAGGTGATCGCGATAGGCCTATAGTTGGATGGGTCTGAGCGGTCGCCTTTTTTAGGGATCGGGTGGACAAAAGCTGTCTTCCATGAATTCGGGACTACGCCTTGGGAGTAGGAGTACCGGAAAAGACGCGTTAGCACCGGTGCCAACTCCGGAGCACACGTCCTCAGCACAATTGGGGGGATTCCGTCAGGCCCACTCGACTTCTGGATGTCCAGGGAGAGCAGCGCTTTGCGAACAGAGCGCTGTGAGAACAGCACATCCGGCATGGAGCACTCACACCGCGAGATGGTCGGCGGTGTTTTCCCCCCGTCATCAAGAGTCGAGTTGGACGCAAAAAGGGAGCCTAAAAGGTCGGCTTTGTCTTTTGCGTCATGGGCCAGTGAGTCATCCTCCCTGTGCAGAGATGGTAGTGATGGCTTACAGAAATTCCCCTGGACAGCCTTGGCGAGAGACCAGAATGCACGGGTTCCCGAAGGAAGGCGAACTAGTTTCTCGCCAATTCTGCCTATGTGCTCTGACTTTGCCTTGGCAATAACTCTTTTGAAGGACCTGGAGGCGAAGTTATACTTCTTTTTAAGTGTGCAGGTATTTACATCCCGAGTCGCCGAAGCTGCAGCCCAGGCTTGATAACACTCCTGCTTACTGCGTAATGCAGTCTTACAGGAGCGACCAAACCAAGGCTGAGATCTGCCTCCGATGGGTACCACAGATGATGGAATATATAGTTCCATTCCCTGTAGCACCACATCAGTGACAGAGTCAGCAACAGCGCTGGGATCATCCGGCGAGAAGCAAACCCGCCCCCATGGGTAGGATGCAAAGAAGGACCGCATTCCGTCCCAATCCGCCGACCTGTAATGCCAAACACGGCGGCAACCTGCAGAACGCAACCGCGAAGGGAGCGTGAGTGGCACCACACTCCGGATCAGACAATGGTCCGAAGAGCCGAGAGGGGCATCGACGGAAACTTGATATCCGTCCGGATGAGAGGTCAGCAGAAGGTCCAACAGGGAAGGTGTATGATCCTCCACATCTGGAATCCGCGTAGGCGAAGTAACCAGTTGTGTCAGACCATATGCCAAGGCAAAGTCATAAACAGATCTCCCCGCATGATCGGTTAGACGTGAACCGAGCCATTCGGCATGGTGGGCGTTAAAATCGCCAAGGATCACGATCTCTGCGGATGGGACCTGTTGTAGCAAGAAATCTGTAGCCATTTGGACGTGGTCGATGAGTCGGTCTGTTTCGGCATTACCGCTATGGGACCTATAGAGGCACCCGTAGACGCGCGGATGGTCGTCGCTGTCTACGCGTAGCCAAAGGATGGACAGGTCCGAACCTTCAAGACTGCCGAGGCGTCGAGAACAGATGTCCTCTCTGACATACACGCAAACTCCAGCCCGAGGCACAAAGGAATGCTCCAATTTGTACCCCGGGTAGGAGAGATACGAAATATCAGCCGGAGAGGAAACCTGCGTCTCGGTCAGATAGAGCAAGGCCGGCTTCGCCGTCTCGAGATGGTAGTGGACGGCGTTTAGGTTAGAGTGAAGTCCCCTGATGTTGCAGAAATTCACGGATAGCGTGGCAGGGGTCGCCTTGGTGTTCTTGCTCAGTTTGCCCCTAGCAGTAATGCTTTTGAGCGGAATTTTGCCCCCCCCCCCCCCAGAATACGCGGGGCAGCCTGAGCACCCACGCTCAGGATCGGAATAACATGGTCGTGGATGCTCAGCGAGGGATTCTCCAGGGGTGCTGGTACCCTCCTGGGGTAGTTCTTCGTGTAATTCCGCTACCATGTTAATGGGGGGGGGGCGGATTGGGCCTCCGGCCACCTGCACTCACCAGACGAAACGCAGAAGCAAAGCTTCTACTTCACGTCGGTATTCTGTGAGGTCGTGGTACCAACCCGGCTCGAGCCGGCCCATACATGCAACAGCAAAAACTGCTGCGTGGCTCTACCACCGTTAAAGCAGTTTTCGCATACATGTAATTTTGCATTTACATTATTGCGTTGTATAGCATTCATGTCGTTGAACTCGGGGTATACAACACGTGATCTCTTTTGCAGTTAGGACATTGCCCAATAGTTGAAGTAGTATAATAAGTTTTGTTGTAAGCTTTTTTTGTTTCGTAGAAATGTTTTTAGTGGGAAAGTTCTTGTAGTTACTTGTTTTTTATCTGCCTTGTTTTTGTACGTTAGGTATATCTTTCTTCAAATTTTTCATAGTTTCGTATGCCATAAACTTGCTCTCAATAAAGATGAGAAAGTCGTTTAAGTTAGGTAGCTCTCCGTGGTCTTGTTGTTCCCTCATGTAGTCCGCGTACGTTGAAGTATCTAAATTCCGTGAAATCAGATGGACGATAAGTGGGTCCCAAGTGGATGTTTCGATACCGATGTTAACGAGCCCATTCAGGCATTCAGTTATGACGTGATGCATCTTTTTTAAGTTGTAGTTGTCGGGGCGTTGTATTACAGGCAAGTTGAACGTGGTGTTGACGAAAGATGTAAACTGAAGACGCCGATTATCGAAGCGCTGGGTGAGTATCTCCCAGCATGAGTCATAGTGTTTAGCGCCGATGCTAAGATGTTGTACTAGTTGCTCAGCTTCTCCTCTCAACTTTGTCTTCAGATCTTTTGTGCCTTGTTGATCGTAGGATTATTATAAATTGCCTCCAAAAAAGATCTTGAAAAGAAATCTATTGCATATAGCTGCCCGAGAATTGAGGTACTTCTATTTTCGGCGCAGATTTTTCATAGTGATTATTCGACCAAACTTTTGTGTCTGAGCTGACGTCGTAGCTCATCGTATTTCCCCTCCATAGTAATAAACAAGTTATAGTATTGAAGATTGAAGCCTTTGAGTTTTGCTTTCATCTCCCAGTGCTGTTTATCGACAACTTCCCACTTGGACTTCAAAAATTATAGATTGTCTTGTAATTCCCATCCTCAGTTATATCTTGAATATCGACTTTAGACGTGACGTGATCGAGAGCTTTAAAGTTGCATTTTTGCCGCTCTAAGAGCGTATTGACGCTGGCGTCGGTGGTGTCATCCAGCATCCCGGCGAGATCGAAATGCACAAACTTGCTTTTGCGTACTTGTAGCAGTAAGTGTTGCATACTTTGTAAAGTAGTTTCATAAAGTTCCTTAGTTTTAGTAAAAACATTCCCTGTGAAGTAGTTGATGTTTTTATCTTCTATAGTTTCCACAATAATTTTGTGGCGCTGTTCAAAGTTGATCCATTGATCTTCAAGGGATTGGATTCGATTTAGTAAGTACTCCTCAGTTTTTCTACTCACTCCGTCCTTCTTGTAATTTGAGCAGAGAGATTTGATGTTATTGAAGCATTGTAGTTGAAGATCCAACATTTTTGTGATGTAGTTTTTCTTGGTACACTAAGTTTGTAGTAAAGTTAGTTAGTGAAGTAGCTGACCCGTAGAGTATGGTGACGCGCGGTGACAGTCGTTTCGGGTTGACCCGATCCAAACACCAGATAAGTTGTAATTATATAGTTGTAATTATCCCGTAGTTCACGGCAATAAGTAAGTTGAAGTAGGTTATCTCTTGGATTGTCCCGCAGTTTGCGGCGACAGGTGAGTTAGTTTAGTTAGCTCGTAGACTAGCTTGTACTTACACAGTCGTGGCGAGATGCGCTGGTTGGTGCACGATCCGAAGGCAACGAATTTTTTCGCAGCCTCCTTATATCCAATCTTCGTAAACCGAAACTTCAGTAAGTAGTACCAGCTTCGAATTACTCTGCCTTGGCCTGAATGAATGAAATGCCTTTATGATAATAATATTTTTTTAAAGATAATGTAATTGATATCTATTTTTATACATTGTTATACATTCTTTTACATTGGAATAATTATCCAACGTACCCGAAAATATAAGATTGCTATAGATCTTCTTACTTATTGTAAGTAAATTACTTGTAATTCGAGACCTAGATAATAAATAAAATAGTAATGTTAGGTACACTTAAGAAATAATTTGTAACTTTTCTACTATTAACTTTGCTATTTAGTATAGCTCTTTTTCTGCATAAAAGTCCGTCTGAATTGGTACCACCTTCATAACTATTTCCACTTCTAAGCAATAATGCGCTCACTGCTAAGATTGGTTTGTAATATTATATAGAACAGCCTCTGAGGCCTTTTATTATAGTTCTCAGGGATGACAACACAACTGTATCCTCCTTTTCTAGTTTGTTTCAAGTTATAGGCTGTCTAGTATTTGCTTTACAATTTGGTTGATTATTTGTTTGTCACTATAAATATTGTAAAAAAAATTTAAGTAACATTTTGTTCTGTTATATAGGGGGCTATTTTTGGTCAGCTTGATGGAATAGAGTCGCGACCCGTGCGTATCTCCGCAGAGGCTGAAGGTTATGCAGACGTTTTGCAAATATCTATTGTGGAATTCCAAGAAGCTCTAGATAATGAGGTTATTGTTAATACTCTATATTCCACACCTACGTACCTAAAACACAATTATTAAATAAGTTTGATCCCAGCGGTTTCCGACCAACCTAAAGTGCTGTTACTGAAATATCTGGATGTCTGTAAAATTAAAAATATTTCATGAACATGTGAATTCTGCTATCACACACTGAGGCAGCGCGTCAGAATTTCCCTGATTTCTGAAAGAATTTTGCCCCCAGAAATGATTGAAAGCCTGGTATAACTGTGTGGGATGGTGGAATGTATTGAGACTGTAACTTAAATTATGTGATTGGCTGAATTGGGACACTTATATATCTAGATATGTATGAGAGTATGATTTCATCGACTCCATTACACCGACTCCAAATACTCATTCAGAATCAAGTTGAGGCTTGTGTTTTAGAACATTAATTTACTTAACTTTTTACATATACGAGTTTTTGTGACAGTGAATTCGTTTTAGACCAGAAGGAACATTGAAAGTGATACTCAATCCAAACTAGATTTTATGAGTATAACGAAACATATAACTGAGGACCCTTATGACACTATTCAATACATCCTTCGCGGAAAAAAGGCAATAAAACTACCTGTAAGTAAAATATCTTTGTTTTATAAGTGAAAACTTCTTTAGGCACGTTAGGCACTTATGAGATGGCGAAAAATCACTGAACTCGCGTGACCGTCATGCTTCAATATATAACAATAATATATATATATATATATATATATATATATATATATATATATATATATATATATATATATATATTAATCATTATTTTTAATGTAAACTAGCGTAATAAATTAAAATTTTATTACTTTATTAATACGTTGATAAAAATAATTTGTAATAAAAAATACTTCATAAAAATATTTCTTTACCACCCATAAATAATGTTTACAAGTTTGTGAAGCTCAAGCTAGGCTCCCACGGCCTGCCAGGCGACAGGCCGCGCCAGGCGTTGCTCCGCCTGAATGGGCCTGTCGCGGTCCGTATTGAGCGTTCCCACGACGTGTGCCGGCCTGGTGCGGCCGCTCGACTGACATTCCAACATGTTAAGTGATACGGAGCGCAAGTCTGCGTGTGCAGCCGCAGTGGTTTTATTCAGTGGTGAACGTTTGATAAACCAAGTAAAAAGAAAGCAGAAGAAATGACCCTGGTGGGTGTTTTCATTCAACAAAAGCCGTTCTTGTTTTTATGTTGAGGCGATGGACCATTCCAAAGCGCTGGTTCATTTTCATAAAGAGTTAAAAACTCGAATATGAGCTCGTTCGTCCACTCCATAATCAGCGTAAACGCGCAGGTGCCACCGCTGTTGAAATGAACGATTGTAACCGACGCAGACGCGCCCATACAGGCCGCGACAGGCACCGTCGCGCCGCGCCGTACCGCGCCTTTGAACTTACTGACTCCCGATGGATCGGACGGGCGACAACAGGCCACCGCAGGCCTCATCGAATGCGATGGTTCTCACGGCCTATTGGTCTGGCCTGGCGCGGTCTGACCTGTGACAAAGCAGGCTGTGGGACCCTAGCTTAAGAAGTTTTCACATCTGACGTGCAGTCCTGCGACTGATAATTTTTTTTGAATTATATTCATTACTTCATAATGTACTTATTAAATAATTATTTCATTCGCACAAACCTAATAATATACTAAGGCGTTGATTGCCATTTTTTTACTTTAAAAACTAATATTGCAGTGTGGTGGCGGCACAACAAATTCCATAACTCAAATTCGTTCTTTAGGTATCGTAAGATGTTACTACGGAATATGTCTGGTATATCCCATATATACCAGAAACGTCTTAAGACTTTCGTTAGGTGGCAGTTTAACCATCTCCTTTATACTTGACATAAAGCACCAAAACCAGCGAAGGGAAGCAGTGAAAGTGATATGATGGCATTGCGACCGTCAATTTAGCTTCCAAGCTAGACAATTAAGGCAAATTAATTCTCTAGATAATAGGAGAGACTAATGACCCATCAGTGCGAATTAACTCGAATAATTCATGGAAATCTTAATATTATATATTTTAATTGGAAAGTGACGAGTACGACGTACTGTGCGGTATTTTTATATTAGCTTTGGTAGTTTTAAATTTGGTTAAAAAATCTACATTTTGTCTAATTTAAAATTCAGTAATGCGATGGCTTATCTCCAATAATCGTTTTATATAAACCCACTAAGCTTTTATACGATTCTTATAACTGAACTGACTTTACTATAATTACCACACTGGTTAGGCGGTTTGGTAAACGTTGGGGTGATTTTATCGTTATTATTGATGTTTTACTCTATCCTGGTGATAAATAGTTATATAGAATTTATGTTTGCCAAAAATTGGATTGTTTTTAGTTATCAGTCGATCATGATAGCCTCATTCGTTGGTACTTAGAGCATACTATGTTACAACCCCCCCCCCCCCTACCGCCCACTTCGCTATGTAAGAAAATAAAATGAAAATCTTACCCACTATTTTCTTCTTCTCTTATTTTCATTTACTGGCACAAAACAATTGAGATATAATTCAACATTATCATCAAAATCGCAACTACAACCTGTTGTCAATCATCATCTCATGATAGGTACAATACATTAATTTATTATCTATGATAACAGTGGATGCAAACGCACGTGGATGCACAAAATGGTACTTGGTATTCCCGCTGGCTTTTCATTACGTGGTTAATCGAGCCAGTTGTCACTTCAGTTCTGGTACTCTCTTTGGAAACTGTACCCGATGAATCAACGTACATACTATATTGGATATTACTTGTGTTAGATATTGTTCATTTTCTTCATTTCCTTTCTGATTTCTTTATGGTAAGTTTTTTCTTTTAAAATTTTCTTAATATAAATGATCACTATCCGTCTCTAAGTAATACACTATTGAATGTAGCTTCCAAATATAAGCATTTATGCATGTTTGTAACTTTTGACAAATGAAATTTTAATTTTAATAATATTAATATTTGAGGATCGAAATACCAAACCAAATTCACCTGAAGCGCTGTTCCGTTACTAGTCTGTATATTTTAAGAATTTGGTATCTTTATTTATATGAAAAGTTACTGTGCTGCCGTTCTTACGATCTCACAACGTGCTTTAGAACACAATATCTCACTGAAAGTCGTCATACTAGTCGACATACTAGTCGAATTCGATGAAACTGAAACTGCTGTCACATAAACTCATGGTACGCCCCGAAGCACATTTTAGGTATATAAGGCCATAAACGAAACCTTTGTCCCTATTAAAAAAAATTAAGTCTAGTATTTGTTTCTAAACTGGTCTGGCTTTTTGGTATAAGTACATGTTTTAATAGACTTATCCTTAAAAAATATTACAAATTTCAGATGGAGTTAGTAGTTGTAAAAGGTAAATGCGTGATGAGGACTTTGAAGTATAGAAAGCTGTTGGATTGGGGTTGTTACGCAGATATAATTTCATTGGTTGTACCTTTAGTTACCTTTATATGGGGGAATTGGTTATATCAATTAGTAAAGCTGGTAAGGCTTCGGCTTCTCTACGATTTTTATAATTATTTCTGCACGGGATTCCAGGTAATACATAACATTATGTTATAGAATTTTGTTTTAAATTGTTTTTGTTCAATTTTTGTTAAATTACCAGAAAAAATTGTTTTTCGTAATGAAACATTTAGTGTCAAATAAGGTTAGGAAAGAAGAATATCTACGTAAGCATGAACTTGTTAGGAACGATCCAATTCAACTGGATTTAAATTTATAATTAATGTTGTAAACTGACCTTTGTTAAACGTCACGTCAAGCGATCTGGCTACGCTTTCTTAGGATATTTAACTATATGTTGGCGTATAACCAAAAGACCAATCCAATTATCTGGCTGATTAAACAGGTTGCAATCTATGTGTGATGAATGTGGCGAAATTTAGTCAGTTTCGATTTTGTAATATAAATAGTAAACATTTTTGAAAATGATCAAACTTTGCTAAATTAATGATACTCGTATTTTACGTAGTAGAGCCATGCTGTAGCTATATTAGTGGAATAGTTATAGCACGAATGGGTCGGCTAGACCGGGGAAGGACCACGCTCTCACAGAATACCAGCGTAAAATAGCAGTTGAACGCCGCTGTGTTTCTTATGGTGAGTGTAGAGAACCACAGACCCGCTTTACTGGAACCGAGGCATTCCATCTTAGAACTCACGCGTGACCACGCATATGCATTTTGATTCGATGATAGATGTCTATGGGCCACAACAACCACTTACCATCAGGTAGACTGTATGCTCGTTCGTCACCCTTATCCTATTAAAAAAAAATCCGTAAAAAAATCTTTATTTGGAAATTTTCTTTAAGAAGAAGAAGCACCTGGCAGTTAAATGTTTTATCAGTGGTACCTAAATACGTAGCAAAGAAAGGGAAAAACAAAGAGAAAAACTTTATCTCCTTTTAAAAGCCGTAAAGACACCCCTTTTTATGGCGTACTGCCAAAAATTCTACGCCTGCAGCCTGTGGGTCAAGTATACTAATAGATATATGATACACGTAGATGCTCTACGTGTTCAGTACAATAATGGCTTTGGGATACTGATGGGACTGTCTCGCTATTGCAGCGCATCAGATATGTTTGCTGAGGTTAACAAGGACAGCTTCAATACAATAGTGCGGAACAGAGTGGCCTCTCTGATGCGACACGTGCGAGACAGTACCAACGGACTCCTATGTATACTGTATTGGGAAGGCTTGATTACCCGGTTGTGCGGCACTGGAATACTGTGCATATAGCAATAGCTATTATGTTTAATATAAAATAATGTATGTGCTTACTTAAATTTTAAGTTTATTCTCATCATTAACAAAGTATGGAGTTTGACTCTGAAATAAAATCATTATTATTATTATTATTATCATGGGGTATCTGTAAAGTTTTGTCATCTGGTTGGGCTGTATAAATATATAATTGTAAATGAAAATGATAAACACATAAATATCAATAAAATTAAATAAATACATAAAAAAAATAAAAAACCCGACCAGATGGACACCTTCTGAAGGGGAGACCAAACAGCCGAGGGTTAGGGGGAAGGGAAAGAAACCGGAGGACGATCGGCGGTGACTGCGATGTCGAGGAGCACCGCCATCTGCATTTGAGCTTGGAGCGGTCCGTCACGGAGTTCCAGTCACCTCAGATGACCCGAGAGGCTGACTGGGATTAACCCGTTCGCAGAAACGACCACAGGAATAATTTCGGTGGGCAGACCACCCCACAGGTCGTCACCTCGTGAGCCAGGTCCAGAAATCTTGTCAGCTTATCTGTTTCGGCTTTCACAAGGTTCTCATCATAAGGAATGGTAATGTGAAACAAAAATATCCTTGACTGTGCCCGGTCCATCAGCACAATATCAGGCTTCTTCGCAAGAATAGTCCTGTCTGTGATAACCATGTAAAATCCTGGCTACTAGATTGTGTTTGTGCAAATACTCAGAATTAGAAAGCGCCGAACAACCGGAAATGACATGCCTAAGTGACTCACCGGGATGGCGACAAACTTGAGAGATGTCGACGGCACCATCCTTTAGGATGTAATTCCGATAATTGTTGTTCTTAATAACCTGATCCTGTATTGCACAGACAAAACCCTCGGTTTCCCCAAAGAGATCCCCGAAACGTAGCCAGTGGAGGGAGGCAACTGTGTCTACGAAAGGCTCATTTAGAGCCTTGTAGAACCTCCCGTGGAGAAATTCTCTGTACTGCCGGGTCTTGCCATAGCTCGTTGGCTAAGGATAGAGGGATAAGTCCTTTATCACAAGAAATAACGTCCCTATAGAATGGATCATCCGTTCTCGTCAGAAAGTAATTACGTAGGCTACACACTTCGCGATTATGCATGGTGAGCCCGCTTAAAAGGCCACGCCCACCATTTTTCCGATGATGCATCCTGTGGGACATCATAATAGTGCGGACTTTTCTATCCAGAGCGTTCAGTTCGGTCTGAGTCCACCTGAGTATGTCAAATGTATACATGAGAACAGGCATGATCCAACCGTTATATGCTTGTGTGTATTATTAACGCCCGACAAAAGACTGTTAAGCACTTTTGTCAAGCGTGCATAAAACACATCGCAAGCTGACTGCTTCATGTCCGCCTCATCGATACCTATGTTCTGTGACATACCTAGGTATCGGTATGTTTCAGTCTCAGATAGGGTCTTTATGTTGATGGCAACAGACAAGTCTATGCCATCAGATTTAGCAACCCTTCCCCTTTCGACATGGAGGAACGCACACTTATCCGTCCCCAGCTCCATTCTAATAGAATTGCTAAAATCACAAGTGATGTTTAGCAATTTCATAAGATGAGAGCGACTGGAGGTGAATAATTTGAGATCATCCACCGAAACCCTCCAGTAAGGTACTGAGAGGATTCAGAGAGAGGCAGAATCAGATTGGACTCAAACAATCGCCCTGGAAGATACCCCTTCTTATCCTTATGTGGTTCTCCGCAGCCGTCATCCGCTCGCCTAGATGACAAAGTATCGTACTCCATTGCCCCATACACTGCCCGAGAAAGTCTCGAACTGTATAGTTAACCTTATACAGCTCGAGGACCCTCTTAAGCCATGTATGAGGCACCGAGTCGAGTGCCTTTTTGTAGTCTATCCAGGCGGTGGAGAGGTTCCGACGGTTGCGTTTAACCACCTTGCTAATGATCGCGTCAATGAGGAGTGGTTCCTTGGTTCCACGACCACCGCCCCGATATCCATTCTGAGCCCGCGACATCACCTGATTTGAGTTCAGGTGACGAGTGAGTCTCGCGCTCAAAATGGATGTTAGTATCTTGTATATGGTAGGTAGACACGTTATGGGGCGGTATTTGCTAGGGTCTGTGGAATCCCGGTCTTTAGTAACCAAATGAGTGATCTCAGTAGTGAAGAGGCTCGGGAGAAATTTTTGCTCGAGAGCCTCTTGAAACTGTCGGGCGAGCACAGCGTGACACACCACGAACTCCTTCAGCCAGTAGTAATGCAGTCTGTAGAGTCCCGGACTTTTCCAGTTCGGGGCCCTACGGACCGCTTCAGCTACGTCATCCGGCGTTATGATGACGGGGTCCATGGGCGTAACATTCGCACACTGACCCGCCACAACTTCCGTCCAAGGGCCCTCGCTGTGGTTTACGGGCTTTGACCACAGGCCGCGCCAGAATGTGATAGTGTGGGCCTGATTCGGTGCTGGGCCCGTTCCACGTACCATTGGTCGCTCCAATAATTCATAGAGCCTCTTCTGATCACTCTGGAAGAGACGATTCTGGTTGAACCGTGTCGACCTCTCGGTATATCGCTGAATCCGCTTGACCCAAGCAGCTATTCTCTGCTTAAGGTCGTCTATGCGCTCCGTCAGCTTTTGCGTTATATCCGGCTGGGATAAACTGATGGTTGTCCCAGCAAACGCCATCCTGACGGTGCGCTCAATTTTCGACCTATTATTGCCCGACCTAAAGCTTATCAGTCTGCCAATGAGGGCCCTTGCCTTTGCGATACGGGCCTCAATCCTTCTTCTCCAGGCTGGGATGGCGCTAATTTGTATAGTACCGCGTCCAGCCGTGGGAAGTTTGGCGCCAATAATACGGAAAACTACCAGTGCAGCGCCAAAAACAATTGAATCCGTCTCGCAAAGGTCCCGGCTGGTTTCCAAATAGGTCACCAGCATTGGGTTGAGAGCCCTCACGACAGCCCGATTCCGCTTGCTTAGGGGTAAACGGGGAAGTCGCGGTCGATTCTCGAGAGGCGTACTGCGCGTTTCCCTAATCACCTCTTCCAATATGCTCCTCATTTGCTCTTGCTCCTGGGCGACTATTCCATCGTCATCTGAGTAAACCATAAGGAGTTCTACAGCGGCATCTACGTGTGCGGGTTACTCTGTAACTCGTAGAGCCGCATCTCCTGTCGTAGTGTTTTCATTCGACGAGGGAATCCTCACGTTGTCGCCGTTCGAGTTCGACGTCATCAAATATTTTTGAGCGCATGACGGTAACGGTAATAGACGGCTCCAGCTCAGCAAATAGTCGATACATTCTAGCCCAGTACGCAAAACCTCCAATTTCTTTCCCTTTCGCCCTCAAATACACCCGAAATACGTTTAATTCATTTCCTTCGTCCAACGCATGCGGCGTACTCCACCAGCGGCGGGTGGCGGCTTGCCGAGTCCAAGAGGACCCTGCCGACACCAAGCCATCTGGTAGGGATGATGGATGCGAGGGGCTGCTAGTTGGTCGTATAGAACCTCACGCTCGATTGGCGGCCCGCATGCTGTCGCGTTCAGCGTCAGCTCCAGTCGCGCCCCGGCCACCCCCAGGCAGCGGCCCTATACGCGGTCTATTTGTTTCCATCATCCATAAATTAGGCGTCAATTAACGGGAGACGCCCAGGCCCGGCACCGTTTCATAATTTGGCCGTAAGCACAAACGGACTCAAATTAGCACCCTCAATTCTGCCGAGGCACGGCGCTCACACCTCTTGGCAAGGCGCTGACTAACTGCGCCGAAGTAGCAGTTTTATCACTTAACTGTTACGTCAGCGGGCGATGGGGTCGTCACTTCCCTACGCCTATTTAACTGATACATCAGCAGGCGATAGGGACGTCACTTCCCTACGCCTATTTATTATTATTATTATTATATTTGTCATAGTTTTCTTTACCTCTCTCTGTATTAAAGGGGTAGAAAAAAGACTCCTACGGACTAGACTATTATTTCTTTGTAGGAATAAGATAAACTTTTCTAGCTTTATGCTGTTTTATGAATTTATTTTTTTCTTAGAGCAGATTTGGTTCTCTATTACTAAAATTTATATCGGTGCTATTGATTCTACACGCTATGACCTGTGGTTGGATAATGGTTGCATGTAGAGGTGAAGTATTATTTTTCTCTTCTTCTTACATTCTTCTTATATTTAAGAAACTACTTTTTTAAGTTTTCTAATTACATATTTTTTCAAATATATGAGTTTTCGACATAGATTATTTAATAATATCGAACACTTTTATTTTTAAATTGTCATATTGTTTTGTTAATAGATCTATCTTTTTAAGGGACTTCTGGTATTCATTATTAATTACCGACATTTGGAATGGCTACTACCTATTTAGTTTTCTTCAATGTTTAGTTAATACAACATAACATTACAATGTGTTGTTTGTTTAAGCTGATTGACTAAATTTCAGAAGAAGAATTTCCTGTGAATGTTCCTGAAATACCACCTCATATTAATGCTACAATTGACTACAGTGAATGGATGCATCCAAAAGATAGAAAAAGAGGTTAATTAATTATTTATGTTAAAAAATATTCCGTCTGTTCAGAACAAATGTACTTATTATTTACGAGTATCATAATAATCCACCGATGCATCTGAGCTTTTCGTTTTGTAAGGCGAATTCGCCTTACTCGTCATGTTTGGCACGCGGATTGACTTTAGCAGCACTAGACGTCCCGCAGCCCTTCGCTTGCCTGGAAATATCTTGCCTGGCGTAATGTGATGATTTATTTTATAAAACTGAAGTGGCAAAGGAACTTAAATTCCACCAAATGGAAAGTGCCTATTGTAGTACATGGAAACCTGCAGTCAATTTCAAACAAAGAAAGCTACGGGTGCGTTATCACCTCTGAGGACTAAGGTGGATTTCCTCACAGCTTCTAAGTATAGGTACTTGATGATGGACGGGTTGGCAACCACAGTTTTTATTTTTAATTGTTATTAGGAAAGCGCTCCTCCACCTTCGCGTTTGTTTCCCTCATCATTTACTCATTTACATCGCCAATTTGGTCGACAAATATAAAATTGTTATATAATAAATATAAAATGTTTATATAATATACATATTTTTTATCGTTGTATATTTTAAACCAGGTTGTGCAACAGTGACGAAAACGTTTCAAATCGAGGATAAAAACCAGTTCAGTTTTGTGGTCCCAAGAACTTGTAAGGCTGATTACATTGTATCAATGACTTATATATTGATCCTTTATACGCACACTGAGATGGAGTCTGTAAGTACTAATTTCACTGCTATTATTTGTAGTCTTATATCTAGTCTCTTCAATGCAGTGGTATTACTGTCTTATATGTAATTATATGTCTTATATGTAAGACTCGAACAAATTACGGTAACGAAGAAAGTGACTGTGGACGGAATTTGGAGCGGTGCAGACGTCCGGGCTGCTGCCGACGGCAACGGTCTAATAAGGTTAATCACCACCAGTCACACCCAGATACACATCACAGCACCTTACTTCCCTTGCACCACACAACCACATGCGACCTGACCGAATCCTGAGGGACCAGTCGCCTTGGATATAGGTAAGTAAGCTCGGTTTAATATTCTCCCTGTTGAATAGCAGCAAGATCGAACGCCTTTCCTTATTGTTTATTGTAATTAGGAAATTCCACGCGGCTATATTGAGGCCCGACCTACGTCTGTTCGTTGAAACTCAGCTGAATGGACCCCAGAGGATTTGATGCTTTGTGGGAGCAGCCGTAGGCCGTAACAAAGTATGTGGTAGAGCCATGCTGCATCTAAATTATGGTTGTAGCACGAATGGGTCGGCTCGACCGGGGAAGGACCACGCTCTCACAGAATACCAGCATAAAATAGCAGCTTAACGCTGCTGTGTTTCGTATTGTGAGTGTAGAGAACCGGAGACCCTTTTTACTCGAAACGAGGCATTCCATCTTAGTCCTCACGGGTGACAACGCATCTGCATTTTGACTCTTAATCGAAGATAGATGTAGATGTCTATGGGCCACAGCGACCACTTACCATCAGGTGGACTGTGTGCTCCTTTGTCATCCTTATCCTATAAAAAAAAAACAATGTTAACATTTGAAGGAGCGAAACTTTATAAAAAAATACCCGCACATATAAATATGTTAATTCGTTCAACGCATTCAAGAAACAATTGTATGAATATTATGTTGTAAATAACTCATTTAAATAATTGTGAATGCGTTGCGTCTAACGTAGGGAAATTTGGAATAAGGCAACGGAACCCAAGGGGTCAGCAGCTGGCCGACTTCATGGACAAAGAGGGACTCTTTATGATGAACTCTTTCTTCCAGAAGCGGCCCCACAGGAAGTGGACCTGGTCGAGCCCCGACGGTTCGACAAAAAATGGGATTGACTTCATTATGACGAGCAGACGACAACTGTTCAGTGATGTCTCAGTGATCGCGAGGGTGAAAATCGGCAACGATCACCGAATGGTTAGAGGCACACTGAACCTAAACGTTAAGTTGGAGAGGTCTCGTCTAATGAAGTCAACGCTCCGTCCCCCTCGTGCTCTAATCAAAGTCCCGAAACCTTTCAGCTCGAGTTACAAAACCGTTTTCAGTGCCTAGAAGACTGCAATGAAGTGGACGATATGAATGACAAGCTCGAGGAAACTGTCCATGCGGTCGGAGCTAAGTTCTGCAAGACCCGCCGCAGAAGAACACAAAAACTCTCCGATCACACTCTTAATCTCATGGATGTTAGACGGAAGATGAAGCTACATTCTTCAACAGATTTGACAGCATACAGGCAACTGAACAGACAGATCTCGAAATGCATGCGGCGGGACTTACGCAACTTCAATACAGCTCGTATTGAAGAAGCAATCGATCGGAACCAAGGCTCCAAAGTCTTTGCCAGAGATCTGTCTGCCAGAAAGAGCCAACTGTCAAAGCTGAAGACAGAGTGTGGCAGCATCGTTTCCGGGGCACCTGAAATTTTGAGTGAGATTGAGAGGTTCTATGGGCAGCTGTACACGTCATCGTTGGAGCCACACGCAAGTGTGAGTAACGATCCAAGAGCGAGTCTTATCCGACATTATTCCGAAGATATCCCGGACGTCAGTCTGAGCGAGATTAGAATGGCTCTCCAGCACCTGAAAAACGGCAAGGCCCCAGGCGAGGATGGAATTACAGCGGAGCTTCTGAAAGCGGGTGGAAAACCGGTACTTGAAGTCCTTCAGAAGCTCTTTAATTCCGTCCTCCATGGTGGCATTACACCGGAGGCATGGAGCAGAAGTGCGGTGGTCTTGTTCTTCAAGAAAGGCGACAACGCTCTCTTGAAGAATTACAGATTACGATTTCCCTTCTGAGCCACGTCTACGTGCTGTTTTCGAGAGTCATTACGAATCGTCTCGTGCGCAGACTTGACGACTTCAGGCCTCCCGAACAAGCCGGTTTCCGAAAAGGCTTTAGCACCATAGACCACATACATACCCTTCGGCAATTTGTACACAAGTCAGAGGAGTACAATTTACCACTATATCTGGCGTATATGGACAATGAGAAAGCCTTTGATTCCGTCGAAATTTGGGCGGTGCTGCAGTCCCTTCAGCGGTGCTAAGTTGATTGTCGGTATATCGAAGTGCTTAAGTGCTTGTACAGTAGGGCTACGATGGCTATCCGAGTACAGAACCAGAGTACAAAACCTATCCAATTGCAGAGAGGTGTAAGACAGGGTGACGTCATATCCCCGAAACTCTTCACCGCTGCATTGGAAGACAGTTTTCAAGCTTCTGGACTGGAAAGGATACGGTATCAACATCAGTGGCGAATACATTACTCACCTTCGATTTGCTGACGATATAGTCCTTATGGCAGAATCGCTGGAGGACCTAAGCACTATGCTCAATAACCTCAATAGTGCTTCCCACCGGATAGGTCTTAAGATGAACATGGACAAAACAAAGATCATGTTTAATGTCCATGTCACACCTATGCCGGTAGTTGTTGGGAGCACTAAGCTCGAAGGTGTTAACGAGTATGTTTACCTGGGACAAATAGTCCGACTAGGTAAGTCCAACTTCGACCGAGAGGTCAATCGACGGATTCAACTCGGTTGGGCAGCGATCGGGAAATTACGGCACATCTTCTCGTCAGGTATACCTCAAACTTGAAAACGAGACTGTACAACCAGTGCGTGTTGCCAGTGATGACATACGGAACTGAGACGTGGTCTTTCACTGCTGGCCGGATGAGGAAGCTCAAGGTCGCTCAGCGAGCTATGGAGAGGGCTATGCTCGGAGTTTCTCTGCGTGATAAACTCAGAAAAGAGGATATCCGCAGTAGAACCAGAGTGACCGACATAGCCCAACGGATTAGTAAGCTGAAGTGGCAATGGGCCGGCCATATAACTCGAAGAACCGACAACCGATGGGGAAAAAAGATTCTCGAGTGGCAGCCTCGTACCGGCAGGCGAAGTGTTGGGCGTCCCCCCACTAGATGGAGTGACGACCTGGTAAGATATGCAGGAAGTCGATGGATGCAGGTGGCTCAGGACCGTGCTTTGTGGCATTCCTTGGGGGAGGCGTATGTTCTGCAGTGAACTTGTGAAGGACTGTAATGATGATGATGATTATGATGAATGCGTTGCGCGGGTGAAGTTAGGGTGTTTTTGGTAAAATTAATTTGACGAACGAATTAGCTTAAGCTATGTAACCATGTAAACTTATCAATGAAGAAATTGAATCCCTTCTCGAAAATACTGCCTCATAAATTTTTACACTCTTACAGACTTCTCACACTCATCCATACACATACACACACACACACACATTCTTGCAAATAATCACGCAAGTATAGTTTAATTATACCTTAATGCAAGGTTCAAGTTGTTTAGCTATTTTATTTTTTTATGTTTTTCTTATTTAATACTAATTTATAGTAGTAATTTAATTGTATAACAAACGAGCGTACCTCTACTACAGGTATCTATTTACTTAAAAGAGGGTACCCAACAATATTTTAACAACTTACTACTTGTTTTAAAGCAAAAAATTATTATTATTATTGTTGGGTATCTCTATAGTTTTTTGTCATTTCGTTAGGCTGTATAAATATATAAATGTAAATGAAAATGATAAATAGACATAAAATAAAATAAATACATAAACAAACATAAATAGGTAAAAACCCAACCACATGAGTGCGCTTATAAAGGCTTGCCCACCATGTTTCCGCGGCAAGTACAGCCTCATTACTGACGATCTCGGATGATGCATCCCGTGGGACGTTATTACAGTGCGGATTTTTCTATCCAGAGCGTTCTTTTCGGTCTGAGTCTACCTGAGTATGCCGAAGGTATACATGAGAACAGGCATGATCCAACCGTTATATGCGTGTGTCTTATTGACGTCCGACAAAAGACTGTTAAGCACTTTTGTGAAGCGTGCATAAAACACATCGCAATCTGACTGTTTCATGTCCGCCTCATCGATACCTATGTTTTGTGACATACCCAGTTATCGGTACGTTTCAGCCTCGGATAGTGTTCTTATGAACATAGATAAGTCTATGCTCTCAGAGTTAGCAACCTTCCCCCTCTCAACATGAAGGACCGCACACTTATCCGTCACCAGCTCCATTCTAATAGAATTGCTAAAATCACTTCACAAAGATGAGAACAACTGGAGGCTAATAACTTGAGATCATCCATATAGAAAAGGTGGGTCACTTTTGTACCTCCTTTCCGAAGCTGAAATCCTCTCCCGAAACCCTCCAGTAAGGTACTGAGAGGGTGTAGAAAGAGGCAAAACCAGATTGGACTCAAACAATCGACCTGGAAGATACCCCTTCTTATCTTTATCCCTGGAAGATACCCTGGAAGATATTATTATTATAAATGACATGCACTTGTCTTAATGAGTAGTAAGGATTTTATAAGGTATAAGATTCCAATAACATATAATATGTTATCCATTTATTTTTGCTATCGAAATGATTATTAAATAGCTGAAAGGCTTGTCTTGCCAAATTGGAACTACTGCAACTGTTGTGAAATAAGGTTTAACATTAGGGGCAAGATTAATATGTATATATTTATATATATTTATGTATACAAGATAATTTTTTAGTATATTTATTTTATATATTACTAAAATATATTTATTATATTGTAGTTCATTATCATTTTTATTTTGTTTTTATTTTATATTACTACAACTACGTCAAAATTTTCACCGCTCCATGGATAGACTGGTAGAGAATTTTTTTTTATAGGATAAGGATGACAAACGAGCACACAGTCCACCTGATGGTAAGTGTTTGCTGCGGCCCATAGACATCTACATCTATCCTCTATTACAAATCAAAATGTAGATGCGTTGTCACCCGTGAGGACTAAGATGGAATGCCTCATTTCCAGTAAAAAGGGCCTCCGGCCCCCTGCACTCACCAAGCGAAACGCAGAGGTAAACCTCTACTTCACGCTGGTTTTCTGTGAGGTCGTGGTACCACCCCGGTTCGAGCCGGCCCATCCGTGCGACAGCAAAAGCTGCCGCGTGGCTCTACCACTTGATAAAATGAGAAATTGAGAATGCCTCAAGGCATTAAGTCCGCCTTTCGTATTCTTTTATTTTAAGGAATGCCATAAAGAATAAATATATAAATACATGTAAGTGTGTACAACAGTATCCACTTACTATCAGGTGGACTACGTGCTGGCTACCCCAACTTCTATAAAGAAATCATATTACAATTCCGTTCAACTTACTGTTATATGCAGCCGAAATGCAGAGTGTTAAACATTTTGCACAGAACAACCATGCTAATAAATATATATATATATATATATATATATATTATAATAATCATTATATTTAGCAAGAGTGGAACCAATAGCCTTAGCTAGAGTGGGAAGCATTCGGTACGGCTTGCAGTGCAGCGGTACGTTCGGGATATTTTTTTTTTGCTCATTAAACAACGTTGACCCCACACTAGTATTTTCTCCTGTATCGTGGAGGCAGTTTACAAACACAAATTGAACAAGGACAAACATCCAGACCCAGAACAATTATTTGTAGGCCATACAAATACTTGTTCCGTGCAGTATTCGAACCCGCGTCCCCCAGTGCAGCAACTCATTGCTAAACCACTGCGCCATGGAGCCGTCTATATATTTTAAGCGGCCGCACCACTTTATCATTATCATGGTTAAGGTCCTTCACAAGTCCACTGTTAAACATAGGCTTTCCCCAAGCAATACTACAAGGCACGGTCCTGTGCCACCTGCATACAACAACTTCCTCCATCTCTTACCAGGTCCGCACTCCATCTAGTGTGTGCCATCCCACACTTTATTTACCAGTACGAGGCTACCTTCGAGAACCTTTCTTTCATTTCCATTTACACAGAACACTAATTCAGCGTATGATTATTTTGCACACTGAATGCATAGTCCTATTGCACGCTAAAAGAGCGAGCAGTCAGGTTGTACGATAGGCCCTGGGTGGAGACCGATAGACGAGGTATGCGATGTAGTGGCGCGTTCATCATAAATTTTGAGCGGCAGTCACTAAGGATACTGTGATCAATTTATCAAGAGCAATTTATCATGATCACGCCGAACGCTCTGCTTCCCTATAAGCTAGAACATAATGGCCATTCAGGTCGTACCCTAAGTTTTAAGTCGAAAGCGTCAGGGCGTGCGGTATAGCAGTGTAGTGTAGTATTACAGTCGTTACTAAGGACTCTAATCAAGAGCGAGACAGCATGTGCGGCTAAGAATTCAAATAGTCGCAAAACAGGAAACTAATTACGAGCATGTTTTTGAAGTCCTCGCCATACTAAAAAGAAAAGTAATAAAACTTCGTTATTTCGCAGGTTTTAACGTTAAATTTAAAGCAAGTTTTTTACAAAATTGTAATCAATTTTATAATTTACCTTTTGGATATATGGATTTTAAGCGTTGCGATAAGTGCTGTGTACACAAAATTTAGTGAATTATATGATTATGACTATAACGTGGCGAACTTGATTACTTATTTGAAACACACTGGACTGTCACCGACTTTGTTACAAACTGTGGAGAATTACACGAAACACTTATGGCAAAGGCAGAGAGGTGAATTGACTAGTCTTAACTTTTTTAAATGGGCAAAGATTTCTTTTAGCTAAGTACTTTTCGCCACCCTATTGGAACATTTTAATTGACTACGCTTTATTGGCTATTTAAAATAATTGGATTATTTTAAAATCTATATCTCTACTGGCTTAATTATAAACGGATCTAGTCCAATTTTTATGAAAAGTTTACTCGGTGAGAAAAAATAACAAGCGAAATCTGTTGGTTCACTAATCACGGACATATCGTTTAAATTATTTAAAAAAAAAACAATGGTATTTAATATAGTGGTACTTTCTGCTTTTCTTAATTACGTTAAAAACTAAGCCTTATAATATATCCAGTTACATGCCAAAATGTTCAGATTTAAAAATAAATAAGAACCCTAGAAATTTTATTACTAACCACTAGGTTAATAATAGAATTTCTCATTGTCTTTAAACCACTTTAACTAAGTTTAAAATTCTTGTAATGACAGTCACGAAAGTCGTCAAATGGCGGATTCAAACTCACAACCGTTTAATTTCACATTTTGGTCCTATTATAATCTATGTTCTGTACTAGTTAATTAAATCGGAATTTTCGTCGAATATTTTGTAATTTAATCATTATTATTAATTGAAGAATAATCCTGGCACTCAATTACAGGTAATTGGCTACCTGAGCTGGCACAAAATGCTCCCCAGTGCCTTCGAGAAGATATTTTTGGCGCGCTGTACATGTACCATTTGATGACACCGCCTCTCCTTCGAGACCTGCCTCATTATTTTATTCGCCAATTAGTAACGAGACTAAATCGGGTTGTTATCTTTCCTGGTATAAATCATTTATTTTTCCTTAATTTGTCATGAATTATTATTTATGATACAATTTGATATCTGTGATAACCTCGTACATTTATTTTGTCTTAATTTTTTTGGATGATTTTTAATGCAATAATAATGTCCTCCAGACCGTCGTATGTCGGTCAAGACAACCAGTCTCAACGGAGACTAGCCATCTACGCAATATGCTTGAATATATCGCACCTTTAGGATGAAATCGACTGAACTCAAAAAAGTAAATTTGTGGGAAATCGAAAAAAACGAATGTAAATTGTGACACCTCCTTATTAATTTTTACATTATTTCGTAACTATTTGAGTTAATAGCAAAGTTATTGCGGAAAATCAGAGAGGATACATACAGCTATGAACCCTTTAAAAAAAGTATAAAAGGAACGAATACTATAAATTAAAAACAATTATTTTAATATGCGAGTCGTTTTAATACCCAATAAATATCCAAAACTTTGACCAAATGTCAATATGTCCTCTTTTTACTAAAAAAACACATCTGAAATTTGACCGTTTAAGAATTAAGTTCGTATTTATCTGATGTAGTTATTTTTTTGCCGTTTTCATTTTTAAATCTTTTTTCTTAGTACAATTGCAAACCTAAATTCAAATATAAGTCATAATAGTAATTAAAAAAACAACGGTTTAATAGAATTATAATATATTAACAAAAATAATGAATATGTAATATTTATAGAGATTATTTAAGAGCATAACTGTTCGTATGGAGGGTAAAACCTCAGTTAACCTGTCAAGTTATCATAGATCAAAAATTAAAATTGAACAGATATTTTTCATTAGGAACTATTATTACTAAACTGGATGCTAACTAAATATCACATAGTATCATTTGACACTAATTGTCATGTCTGAGTCACATAAAAACAACAATCAACCTTAAAAGTAAAGCTAAATAATATATTCTTTATCTAAAATGTGTCTTTGGGTAATTTATTACTACAAAGTAACGTAATAGGAACTTCAATAATAATTAACACTTAAAATTAATCCAAAAAAATCAGTTAAAGTAATCAGTCTTCTCAGTCTTCTAATAACGATTTATAATAATCTATATAGAAACCAGGTACTAGATTCTTCCTGAGTAATTCACTTAAACCTTTCTTTTTATTTTCATTTAATTTTATTTTATTCATGAACGCTTTAGAAATTGAGATCTCTTCCAAGCTTAGCATTTTTTTTCTTTTGTTTCTCATATTTACACGAATGAAATCTTCTTGGGCATATGAGGTTTTGTAGAAAAACTCGAAGGGTTTGTTTTTTAAGAAACTTAACACTTTTATATCGTTCCAGGATACTGTGTTACGTTCATCATCTTCGTTGAAATTATAGCCCCACTGATCGTGTAAGGATTTCAAATCAATAAAAATGTCATAATTTAACTCCAATACTTTGAAAGGATTGCCAGATTTTTTGGCATTTTTTAACAAAGTTACATATTGATGGGATGTTTATATAGGACCAGATTTTAGATTTCTTTTTATCTCTTTTTCAATTAAACTGTGAACATTATCACCTTCATTCTGGGTGTGTCCTCGTATTAAATACTTGTGAGTGATATTTGTAATATTTGGAAATTGAGACACAGCATACGAGTACAGACAAGCAATAAACTTGTTTTTATTTTGCCCGCAGCAATTATCGGAGTAAAAAATTATGTTTAATTGTTTATCAGGAGATTTTTTACTGACCATTTTCAAATACTCAAGTATGCAAGATCCTATTTTGTTTGCTCCCCTTTTACCCTGTGTTTCATCCAAAAAAACATTATAGACATCCCCATAAGCGCCAAATGTTTCGCTTTCAATTATTTTACTCACTCTTGGGTTCTTTGCAGTTGTATTTATATTATGGTGTTTAATAGCAGCTAATTCAGCCATGGTGAAATTCAAGCAGATTAGTTTAAATATATAATAAAAAGAACTGCTTTCTCCCACAGGACATTGCATGATAGCCTGTAAATCATAGACGGTGCAAATATTATCCAAATATAAGCATCCTACGATCATTTTTTTTCAATAGGACAAGAAGATCTTTTTCTTTTATATGGTTGTCAAACTTCTCTTGCAAGTTTGCTTTTTGGTCTACAGATGCCATCTCATATTGTAAACAAAGATCACAACGATCTTTTTTTGGCTGAAAGAATCCGATATTAAAATTGTTATTAAATACTTGATAATATAACCAGTACTCCACTTTAGGTTTCATTGGCTCTCTGTTTTCACAGAAGTCTCTCCAGAGATCTTTAACCGTTTTACTGCAGTCAATAAACTCTTTCGATGTGGATGCCCTAAGGTAATGTGAATCCATTCTAGGGATTGTACTTATGTGACTCTCAATGTCCTTAATAATGGTTTCGTCTATTTTTTTTCTATTAGTGTGCTTACCTCTTTGATCCTCAGCTATAAATCCGACATCATTAATTTTTGCTTTGACGGTTCTAATCTGTCTTTCTGTAATATCTAGAGTATTCATGAAATATGTTTTACAAACTCGAATTTTTTGATTGTTTACTGTGAAAAAAAATGCAATATTAGGTGATCTAGGTTTTTGAGCGTTCGTATATTTATATTTTGGCCTTACTTCCATCATGCAAGATTTAATAAATGATCTTTTAAGGTTCAAATTAGAAAGGTTCCAATACATTTCAAAAATGTTAGCCCTTTGGACTTCATCTATTTGGTCGGAGCATTTTAATCGACAAGGCTTAAACGGGGTTTTCATACTACGGGAAGGAACTTCTTTTTTAGATCTTGACAAGGAAGTGTAGGATTTTCCAGTATTTCGCAATATTTTGTTGATATTCTGTTTCCACATTAGTGGATTACGTTGCCGTTTTTTACATTTTTTATGAGTCATGTTTGTTTCACTAACATTACTTGTCCCAGGATGTTGTATTTCATATTGAGGTTTAGTAGCGCCACTTGAGGAAGAGGAACTTCTACGACGAACAGAAATTTTATTGGGGTCTTGAAATGTGAGGTCGTCATCACTTAAGTCAGAATCACTTTCGAGAGTATTAATTGGTGATATACAATAATTAGGTTGCACTCTTGAACTAGATATGAAAGAAATTTTTATGTCTGATTGACTGGTACTAGCACTCATTGCATTTGGATCTTTGTGTGACGTTTGGATCCATGGTCTTTGTGACAATATCACTCAAAGTGGATGATTTTATGGAATTAGAACTGGAACCAGAACTGGAACTTGAACTGGAACTAGAACTGGAACTTGAACGCGATGAAGTGGAACTGCTAGATGATGAAGATAATCTTTTTTCATGACTTGGTCTTCTGGTAATTGGAAAATTTGACTTATTACAATCGTCAGGAGAATATTCAATCCGGTACTTTTTTGAACTGCTTTTCCACTATTTAAAAACAAAAAAAAAACATTGTAAAAAATAAATTAGTGATAGGCCCAGGCAAAATTAGTTTGAAACAAACAAAAACTACTGAAAACCAATGTAGCACTTACCATATCAACAACATTATTATAACAGCAATTTAAAATATTGTTGCTAATAATATCTTTATTTGGCGAATTTTCAATGACTGAGGAACTTGGCTACAACTCTTCCGTTTGATTGCTGACTGCCCATTTCTAAAATGAAACAAACGAGAATTAAGTTCAGTTTGATGAGTACATAGGTATGTAGATTTAAGAAAAAATATTCAAACTATATCTTACTAGTTCGTTTTGGGTGTTGTCACCAAGACTGATTATACTTGGTGAGTTTTTGACGACTTCATCGACCACAGAATTCGGAGACAAGTTCTCTTTCATTTTGTTGTTTGGCAATCCCTGTTGGGTGACAGAAACCATAATTAAACCTTTTACAACTAATAGGTAAAAATAAAGGTGGTTGCACAAAAAAAAATCATTAGCAATTAAAACATGTAACTACCTCAAGTTCTCCTTTTTGCAATATTTATCTTTCCCAAAGCAATGTCCATTATGATATCGCTTCTTCTTTTCATTTCTATGAATTCAAAGTGACTTTTTATTAAACTGTATTGTATTTAATAGTCGTAAATAGACGTATTAACTATTATGCCTTCTTTTTTCACCTAGTAAATAATAAAAAATAGTCTCAATACTTAATAGAACACAAAAGGTAATACTTCGATAAATAAAATAACGACCTAATTTTAAGTCTGTCATATTGAGTCAAGAAATATTAGGATTAGTGTATTAATGAAAAGACTTAAACTTAAGTGAGTCACTAAGATTATTATTAATTTTAGCATAAAAATGACTAAAACTTAAATAAGTCACTTAAAGTGACAAAATTATCGGAATAAAAAAAGCACAAAGCGAAGTTTGTCGTTTTATTACCTAAGAAACTGAAGTGAACTTACCGCTGGTTTCGGAATTAAATCGCCTCAATCAGTTTTCGGTCAATCTTTGCCTATCTGCGTAACGTCACATGCACGACACTGTCAACACAATACTAAAAGCGTCGTTTCCGCAACGACGCGGTCCCAAAATTTTGCGAGTAAGAAAGAGACCGATTGAACTGGTTTGTCCTGTTCCCACCCGAATATGGCGGTTTTTTATGGACAGATAGATAGACAAAGTTTTTTTGAGTCATTCAATGATCATAACTCATTTTACCATTTTTTTGAGTTAGATCGGTTTCATCCTAAAGGTGCGATATGGCCGTAGAGAGATCTGGCGCAGGACCACCGGCTTTACGTTCTTTCCGAGGCACGGGGGTGAAACACCGCCAACTTCCCGATTCCGGACTGTTACTGAGAATTTCTTGACAGAAACACTTCATAGCTAATATTCCTTGGCCCATTCCGGAATTCGAACCTGGGACCCCATTATCAGCAGTAGAGTTTTCGACCACTAGGTGAACTAGGCAGTCAACATACCATTTTATCACAGATATAATAACATATCTGAGATAACTTTGTAGCTTATCAGTTAATGTTTCCGATTACTAAATCAGGTACGCTAATCAGTAAGCAAGAAATTTGACCTGGAACAAAATATTGTTCAAGAAGACAAAATGTGTTTTCTAACGTAGCCATGCTGCAGCTATATTATGGTTGTAGCACGAATGAATCGGCTCGACTTGGGAAGGACCACGCTGTCACAGAATACCAGCGTAAAATAGCAACTCAATGCTGCTGTGTTCGTATGTTGAAAGTAGAAAATCGGAGACCCTTTTTCCTGGAAACGAGGCATTTCGTCTTAGTCCCCCGGAATGGCAGCGCATCTGCTTTTTGATTCTTAATCGAATATAAATATTTGATTTTTTTTTATAGAATAAGGTTGATAAACGAACACACAGTCCACCTGGTAGTAAGTAGATGCTGTTGCCTATAGACATCTACATTTATCCTCAATTAAGAATTAAAATACAAATGCGTTTTTAAATGAAAATGCAGTTGCGACTGAAATGGAATGCCTCGTTTCCAGTAAACTCTGTGAGCCACATCATCCAGTTACATCAGGTGGACTGTGTGCTCGTTTGCCATATTCTATAAAAAATAGGGTTGTGACTGTTTTCTTAAAAATGAAATCTCAGATTAACTTCTATTTTATAGACTAATCGGTTTATTCTTTGTATGCCAGAAAAAGTCCACTTAAGAACTCTAGGATCTATCATTTGTAGCGAGAATTTGCCTACGCGGGTGGTTTAACGCTGCTTCCCGTCACCGTTCTGGCTATTTTACTATTGCTAACAATATGTTAATGTATCGGAAGCCATTTAATTTCTCTGCCATTTCCCATATATGCCTCTTACAACCCCCACGAGACAAATTTTGGTGATGAAAACGTTACGTTACACCAGTAGAAATATACTCCGTCTAATCTTAGCCGATATTGTAAATGTTCGTCACCCACATCCATAACCATAAAGTATTCACATAATTTCAAATGTATTTATTTGTATCCATTTCTGTAAAAGTTTACTGGATAATCTTTTTTAGTAAGCGCATAATTTGGATCCAGGATTTGAATGTCGTACCAGTGACCTTATGTGTTCACATTGGCTTCTATATTTTTAACTACAACCTAGGTAGATCAAAAGAAGTGATCAGAAGCCTTGTACTTGAAAGCCAGTTCAAGGTCTTTGGGTAATTGAATAATATGGATATAGATTTTTGCGTTTACCAGAGACGTCAAATATTAACGTTTGTTTCTATCATGATTTTGTAAATGAAGATGTTATGAATGATGCGGATACGGACGTCAGCAACAAAGAAGAGTCTCTGTATTAGCTCGATCACTTAAATTTGTAAATGGCCCTCTATGTCATTCAGAGCGTAACTGACGGCAGAAATATGTAAGAGGGTGGCACGTACCTAGACGAACTATTAGGTGGAAGAAGAATACATAGAAAATGTACCTTGTAGTAATCCTCCCTCCCTGAGCTGTAATCTAGACGGGTCAGTCCAACATCGTTAATTTAATTATCTTTGTTTATTTCTAGGAAAAATGATCGTGCAAGAAGGTGACATATTTCCTTGTATGTATTTTATTCACGAAGGAGAAGTCGAAAAGTGGGTTACCGACAAAGGGTTCGTTTTACACCTATTATCTTTTTCTCGTTTTCAAGTATGCGATACTGTATGCCTTGAAAGATCTACCCTAACATCACGTTCGGCTGTGCTCGAGAACGTAGATCCGATTACCCTTGCCATGTTAGTGCTAAGCCCCATTATTAGCCTCTGTGATTTGAGCTCGGCATATTTGAATGAAAATACTGTAACCATTCGGTTGCCATATTTATTAATCAGCAGGGTGTATCAGATTAATGGAGGTAGATTTATGCGAAAATTTTACAGAAAGGTGAGTGTAGATTTTGTACGTGGTACAACTGCGCTGCATAATATTATGGTTGCAGCTATCAGGTCAGGAGGTTCAGCTCGAACGAAGAGGGACCGCACGCTCACAGAAAATAATCGTAAAATATTAACATAATGAGAGTCGAGAACAGGAAAACCTATTTTCCACCTTCGTTCTCAGGGGTAGCTGACGCATCTGCATTTTAAATCGTGAATATATATTTCTATGGATCACAGCATCCACTTACATTAGATGACCTGTATGCCTGTTTATTCTTATATTTCTAAAAACAAGACAAATTATGCCACTATTACTATAATGAATATAAACGTTTCGACCGATTTCTAGATAATAAGCTAGTGGCGGTGTAAGAACATCCATTACCCCATGCCATCTAGTGGGTGTCGTAAGATGCATCAGAGGAAAACAAGCCAGAAGATGACCAGCAGCGTCTTCCTAAAAAAAAACAAAAAATATAAACAAAAATATAAAAAAATGCGGTAACCTTATTCTTCTAACCTTCTTGCCAAGCAACTGTGGCAAATATCCCCATTATGAAGCAGTCTATGGAGAGGCCTAAACTCAGAAGTAAATTTTTGATAGTGTATAATGAATGAATGAACATCAAAAGCGATTAACCCTTGTTGTGCTACAACATGTGTTTTTACAATTTTTACGACATTTTTTTCGCAAGTGTAGTAATTGAATCTGAACGTCAATTATCCACAATTCACATCTTGAGAACTGCTAAAACTCGGTGTAGGTAAATATCTGTTGATATAAGGTTCAAAAGCCACAAACACGTTTTTATAATATATAATAGAAAGTGTCTAGTTTACCACCAGCGGTCGTTAAATAAAAGGAATTAACTATAGGAATATAAATAACATGCGTTTGGAATATAAATATTATCTTCTCATAAGGTCTCCCGCAGTAGAGGGTTTGTGCTTTGGAAAGCCTAATTTCGAATATCAATATTTGTTTTGAAATTACTTTTCGAATTATACTCAATGAAAATTTTAATTTATTATTTAGATGGTATGGGGTATCTCATAACTACTTAGACAATATGATTTCTTATATTTACGCGAACACTACACATTGAATAAAACTATTTTTACGGATTTTATCGCGTTTAATTTACTTATTTTTATATTCCCGACGTTTCGGTTGCTTTCCAGCAACCGTGGTCACGGGGGACTGAGGTGATTGACGTCCCGATGTCAAAGTTAACCCGGAGTACCTTCAGCTTTTTAATTATTAATTTTGGTCCGATCTACGCAGAATGAACTAACTGTGTCTTGAAGTCTTACAGTGGTATGCTTGGGTTTAGTTTTAATTTTATGAATTACAGGATCCCAAGCAGGTGGTAGTACCCAGCCTCCCTCTCTATTGAAATTAGGATGTTTTTTAATTTCAATAGCCTCACGTATCATCCTTGGCAGGAATCGATGTTCTTTCGCGAGGACTTGTGGTTTATCAAATCTAATGTAATGACGGGGGCCGTCTAGGATATGATCACAAACTGCAGACTTCCCGGAACGTTGGTGCTTCACGTCAGCTATGTGTTCTTTTACGCGGGTTTTTATTGATCGTTTTGTTTGCCCTATATATGAGAGACCACACTCACAATCAAGCTTGTATACTCCTGCATCTTGTAGAGGAATATTGCACTTGACGGATGGTAAGAACTGACTAATCTTCTTCGGCGGCTTGAAGAATGTTCTAATAGAAGCTCGCTTCAAGATGTAGCCAATCTTGTCTGTGACACCTCTGACATATGGTAGTACAGCAGGCACACGCTCGACTGTGGCCGGCTTCACTCGGTCACTGTGACGTAGGCGCGGAACCCGAAGCTTGTTGTCGTGCAGAACCTGCTTGACGTGCTGAAGCTCGGCGGCCAGGTGTTTGCTGTCACAGATCCCTCGTGCTCTCTGCAACAAAGATTTGCCCACGGTAGCTAACTGTGAAGGATGATGGTGGGATTCACCGTTTAAGTATCGGTTTGTATGGGTCTTTTTTCTATACACAGTGTGACCTACGGTGTTATTAGGATTTCGAATAACTAACACATCTAGGAAAGCTAAAGAATTATTTGCCTCTAACTCCATAGTAAATTGAATTTTAGAGTTTATGGAATTAAGATGTTCTAAAAATGCAGTTACTTTGTCTGATGGTAAAATTGTGAAAGTATCGTCTACGTACCGCTTGTAGAAACTTGGAGTTACTGGTGCAGTAAGCAGGGCTTTCTCCTCAAAGTCCTCCATGAAAATATCGGCGACAATGGGAGATACCGGTGAGCCCATCGCAACACCATCTACTTGCTTGTAAAACTGTTCCTTCCACAATAGGTAGCCAGATGTAAGGCAATGTCTGAGTAATACTGCATATTCTGCTGGCATGTTGTTTTCCTCTAGTTTCCTAGTTATAATTGAGATGCAGTCTTCAACAGGTAGGCATGTAAATAGAGACTGAACATCAAAACTGACCATAGTTTCATTGTCAGTAAGACATAGGTCTTTTATCTCACTGACAAAATGGTATGAATCCTTAGTGTGTGCTCTTGTATGTCCTCTGAGTGGTGATAGTACTTTTGCTAAGTGTTGAGCCAATCTGTAAGTTGGCGAATCGATCTGACTCACTATTGGACGTAATGGAGCGTTCGGTTTGTGTATTTTTGGTAACCCATACAACTTCGGCGGTTTGGCACACGTAGGTATTATCGAATTTACGTCTAGATTCAGTTTCTCGGAGTATTTCTTTATTAGATCGCTAGTTGTTTTAAGCGTATTAGTTGTAGGATCTGTTTTGACCTTTACGTACGTACTTTCATCCGATAAAAGTTGTTGTATTTTAAAATTGTAATCCGACGTATCCATTATAACCGTAGCATTACCTTTATCTGCGCGGAGAATCGTAAGCTCTGGTCTGTTGCGTAAGTTTTTTAATGCAGTAAATTCATCTTTGGGAAGATTTAATTTTGGCGCTGAGCTTCGACGTAACAAGGACGAAATGTCTTGACGTATAGCCTCTAAATCTTCTTTACCAATATTATTTTTATACAGACAGTCCTCAACACTACAGATAATGTTTTCATACGGAATTTTTCGCGGTGTTATAGCGAAATTCATACCTTTGGCCAAAACTTTTATCGTCGCGTCGTCCAGAGATTGTTTTGACAGGTTATAGACCGCACGTTGTTTATTATTAAACGCGATAAAATCCGTAAAAATAGTTTTATACTTAGACAATCTCTTATTCAGGAAAGAAGCATCAGCACCTAAAAAGACTTTGAAGACTACAGTTCGTTTAATAAATTATTAAATTTCTATTTTTCAGCGGCGACAAAAAAATGATATCCCTTTTAAGTACAAACGATTATTTTGGATTTATACCAGGTCTCTTCCCGAACTCTCCATTTCAATTCACCTATATGTCACGGACGGTAATACCATTTTTATTACTTACAAAATATATTTGTAACAGCTTTATAAAGTTTACTCTATTCATAATACAATAATACAACTGTGATATCATAACTAGGAAATTATTGCTTAGTACCGTGGCTTTTCAGATAAAACTGAGTTTTGAATTACAATCTCAGAATTTAAGAAAAAACAATATAATATCAAGAAATAAAATAGAAAATAGTTTTAAGGATAAAGTTGTGTTGAAATTTTTACGTGGTAGAGCCATGCTGCAGCTATATTAGTAGCATAGTTGTAGCACGAATGGGTCAGCTCGACCGGAGAAAGACCACGCTCTCACAGAATACCAGCGTAAAATAGCAGCTTAACACTGCTGTGTTTCGTATGGTGAGTGAGGAGAAGCGAAGACCCTTTTTACTGGAAAAGAGGCATTCCATCTTAGTCCTCACTAGTGACAAGGCATCTGTATTTTGAGTCTTTATTGAGGATACATGTAGATGTCTATGGTTCACAGTAACCACTTGCCATCAGGTGGACTGTGTGCTCGTTTGTCACCCAATCCTATAAAAAAATCTTATTCTACACTTGTAAATCCCTGTCTATTACAATAATAGTATCAGGCTTAGGTTGATTTAGCGGTCAGCCACCAGAGTCTATTTCTCCTGATGATGATGTCTCCTTTAGAGGCGAAACAAGTGTCATATTATCGAAGTTTTTGTGTCGTTCCTAATGTAGTAATGTTGGGAGAAGTGGTGTTGGGATTATTGGTGACGGGGATAGTGTATACAATTGAGAGAAGACGGGAGGTACATTTTAAGCCTAATTTTTAACATCTTTAACCCCTGTCTATTGCTTACTTATCACTTTTCAAATCACTAGACTTCTTATCCTCAGCTGCTCTAGGGTCTTTACCTAATGTTTATGTCCTGAGTGCCATTTTTGTATAATTACAGGAATTTAGCTAATTGGTTATGGAATACCTACTACCAGCTCTAAATGTAACTGTCGTTTCCTTCATCACTATCATTAGCCCGTAACAGTCCTCTGCTATAGAATGGACCTCTCCAATTCTAGGAAGGATTTGACAATCGCCACACAAAGTCGCGCGGAGTGGTGGTCGCATTACTAGATGTCACATGTGTAAGGGGCGGCGTAAAGAAGCCACTATCACTTATGTTCCCATTTGTGTCGTAAGAAGCGATAGAGGAAATCTGAAACAGGAGATGAGCAGTAACATCTTCCTGATAATACCTTGAAAATATTAAAAAGTCTACATAGTTGTACTTAAAAAGCGCAAGCGCAATTGCCAACCAGCCTGCCAATAGTGGCAACTGTGAAAAATCTGGCAAATATGAGATAATGTATGGGGGAGGCCTGGGTCCAGCAGTAGACTCTTAATGGGCAGCACTGAATGAATGAATGAATTAAAGTGCGACGAAGCACCACAAGACGTTGAATCTTTCTTAATTATCTTAATTGTTTACAGTGATTTAACCATTTTTAAATAATGCTATACGAATTAACTATCATGTTTCCTGATGTTAATTTAGTTTTGTTATTACTTCAGGTCGTTGATGTAGTTTTCCTGAGATTTAAAGACTGGCAAGATCTTCTGCACGGGTACCCTAAAATCAAATATAGTCTATACACGGCGGCAAAACAATTGAAAAAGGAAATGATGGGAAAAAATTAGTCTAGTCAAATAATTTATAATTTAGATAATATTATAATAACTATACTATGGCTTTCACTTAGGAAGCAAGTTCAATAAAAGTTATTGTGAAAACATGCATTTTATTTCACTTCTTAACCAACATGTGCAAGTTCACAGCTAGAGATGGACCTCTCACGTTTAAGGGGGGGGGGGGTCTGTTTTGCGTCTAGAGGGAACGGGATAGTTAGCCTGATTACGCCTACCTAGTAGAGTGGCGAGACAGTAAAATCTTAGTAGGTCGAGACAGTGATGTAACCGAGTAGCTGTTCACACGTATTTTTGAAGTTGCGGCGAGACAGTCAGACGCGATGTATCGAAAAAAATTGATAAAAGAATCAATCAAGTTGCTTATACCTTTGCTGGTAGAAGAACTGACAGAATTGTTGGCACACGAGAAATCTTGCATTTGGAGAACCAGAAATTCATTTCTTAGATGATCGATATATATAAGCTGCATCACGTTTTTGCTCGTTTTTATAATCCTAAAAACAGGGATGCATTTCATACAGTTGAATAAATTTTGCTGTGGTATCAAAACCACATTTCACTGACATTTTTTCATTTTTGAATTCCAACTAAAATATTAAGACCGAGTGGCGAGTGGTTACCGAATGACCGAATAGCCGGTGTTCAGATTCACCAAGTGAGCGAGCGAGATAGCGAGGAGAAGCGGGAGGGTGGGTACTCGGCTTAGTAAATAGAATGGGGTCCGAGTGGCTGTCTTGGCCTGTTGCTAGGCCGAGCACTCGTGTATGTGTTTACAAATACCGAGCGCTCGGCCGAGGGCACTGTCTCGCCACTCCACTCGGTAGGTGTAATCAGGCTATTAGACGCCATAGACGTGGGTAACTCAGCCAAATTCCTTGCGTAAACTCAGTAACTCAAGCGCAGTTTACTGCTCCTCTTCATTCTACAGGCAACTCAACACATTAACACCTTTCGTATTTTCTCGGTCCTGCGCTGTGCGCCAACACATTTTGAAGAAGTGAGTTAAACATCCAACGCAGCGAACTGAATTGTCGCAATTGTGCGGCGCAGCGTAGTGTTACACATCATGTCTAAGGCCGCCATCTATTAGAAGCCATGCGAAGATATTTCTGACGTTTCGTAGTTATCTTTTGCGACACTGATAGGATGGAATGAGGCGCCACCTCACGACATAATTTAGATTATTAATTTTCAAGTTCTAATAATAAGGAATCTTATCTTATTTTTTTAAATGTTAGACTAGGATTTTATTTCTCTTGAATCAAATTGAAATAGAGTAAAATGCTTAAGAAATCACATCCTGACCCAGAGACATTTTTGTAGGCTATATCCAAACACTTGTCCCGTGCAGAATTAAAACACACGGCCTTCAGCTCCGCTTAGCAGCTTAATGCTGTTGTTTCATGTGGTGAGTAAAGAAAACTGCTACTGAGTATTTCTTGACAGAAAAATCGCGTTTACAACTAACGTGATTGGTAAGAAATTATTATATTTTGAAAGTGAAAACTTCTTTAGCGTCGTTGTGATTTGAAATTCACGAAACGAACTAGCGACATAACTGTATTATTAGCTAGTTTTTTTTTTATTATAATATCTGTATTATAACTGTATTTTTTTTTAATACAGTGTTTCCTATTATCACGGTCTCCTCTTTGTGCAGTGCTTTAAAGATGTTTAATATAAACTTTAAGTGTTGAAATAAACAATTTAAAAATTAACGAATTTATTAAGTGAATAAAGTTAATATAAATTGAATAAAATTATCATATTATACCAATCCATTCATAACAATCCACGATTTCATAACTTTACGTCATCTAGCGTCTACTTTACATACCACGTCGAGAGACCAATCAATTTTTGTTCGTTAAAGTGACTCCAATGAAGAAGATGGCGCTGTAACATAGCAATTTAACTCAATAACATATTATTTTGATTTGTTGTACTAAAATTTGATCTCAACAACTTCAATCTTATATTTTACGCCGCACTTGTGGTTGACAGTTGTCTTATTCTTATCTTAATAAATCATTTGCCGTGAAATATTTTTATTTTATTTTTATATTTTTATTTTATTTTTATATTTTTTTTCATTTGAAGGTTTCACTTCTATTGCGTGTGAACTGCACACATTTTTTAATTTTGAACTTAGGGCTCCCATAGGGACAATTGCCTCTTATGGGGGATATTAGCCATAGTTGCCATGCTTACCAGATGTAAATTTCCTGGATTGTTACTCTCTGTCGCCTGTTACTATTTACTACAACTCATCATACAGGGCAAGATCCAAGGAAAACGAAGTGTGGGTCGAAGAAGAACATCTTGGCTGAAAAACCTACGCCAATGGTTTGGTAAGAGCACCCGTTCCTTATTCAGAGCCGCGGCATCAAAGATTCAAGTTGCCTTAATGATCGCCGACTTTCGAAAGAAGATGGCACTTTAAGAAGAAGAAGAAGTCGCCTGTTACAAATACGGGAAGATATAGGGTAGTGGATAGTGTTACACCTCCACTTCACGGTAGCTCTTACATGCTATTACAAATTTTACATTTTTGCAATCCAGTTTTCAGTAAGCCCCAATTTTTATGTGGAATGTTGAATTTTTAAGTGTGGTAATTATTTGCAAAACATGCTCACGCGAGCGTATTTAGTGACGAGGATTAATGCGCCCTTCATTTAATTAACATTTCGTGAGCTCATCTCGTTCTTTTATGTCGTTTTGCGGGCTGTAATAAACATAATACATACCTAATTTTGCAATGGCTGTTGTGGTGCTCAAAGTGTGAATTTTTAATATTTTTCTTTGATTTAATTCATTGTGCAATTGCTATCATTGTTGTAATCAAACTTGCGTGAAATAATTAGGAATATACTAGAAAAAATCTCCTCATTTAAAATGCATTATAAATCATAATTCGTATGTAAGAACTATGAACTATGAAAGGGTGAATACTTTTAATTTGTGCTTTATTACGGCTCGCAATGACATTAAAAGGCTTTTCTGGCTCTGTAAATATATCTTGAGGACAAAACAACATTCGATCATCCACTAACTTCGTACTGTGGGTTATCTAATAACAACTTCCATTGCAATACGATTTTGTTTACAGATGAATTAATAATACTCAGTTTTTCATCTTTTCTCACATTGTTGTATTGTTTTGAGAATTATTAGCTATTTACAGTTAACCCTTGCCTGTTAAAACTGGTGGTGCGAAGGCAATTAAACAATAAAAAAATTAAAAGAGATATTAAATATGTAACCTTAGTCATTCCACTTTTAGTTTAGAATAAATCTAGAAAGTTAATGTTTGATTACTTTGAAAGTAGCTTAGGATTAATTACCTGTGCGGTTAAAGGGGCACAAACCGCAAGGACAATGGTCAGAACTTAGGTTAGTTTAATTAAGTACGTACAATACTAGTAATTAATGTACTTACCAAAGATCACATATATTAATCACGTACGTTTTAAAGATTTAATTTTGTAAATATAATTTCATCAATCAGTGCGTCCAAAATTTATTACTTATTCATCGTATCATCCCGTGTGCGTCATAAGAGACAACAGGGCTTAGCTTTCCATTGACGTCCGTCGAGTTGGCTGTTGATACGTATTTTTACAGAAAAGTTACACTATTTTAAGCACATACACAAAGTTTCAACATGCGGAAACGCGTAATTTTTGAGAGAAAAATTATTGCAAATCAATTATTCTTGCAATGTTTATGACTAATCCTACCGCAAAACTGGCGCCATTTTGTAATGTCATTGTCGACGTCAATGGGGATGTCGATTCTTTCCGAAAAAGGTCGATTTTTAAATCGATTCAAATCGTAAGCTGATGTATCGGTTCACAAAAAATCGATTTCTAAAATATCTATATTTTTTTAATGTTTCTATTTATAATGTAAATATAAACCCATTTTATGAAAATCAAGAAAGATACCATGATAAATGATCTCTTATTGAAATTTGTTATATTTTAACAGTACCTATTAGGGCAGATAACAAATAAAATAGGTTAGGTTCAACTTATGTCAAAGAACCGATTTGATTGACCCTGACTCCACCTGGTACGAGTCTGTCCTACCCCTAGAGTGAGCCTCCGTCTGCTGTAACAAATCGTAGGCATCGGACGAGCCGAAGCTGCGGAGGAAGGATGCCTGCGATTTGTTACGCTAAGGCGTAGAAGCTGCTCTTCCCACAGCGCCGGAGACGTAGCAGTCTCAAAATAGATACAAAAATCCTTCTGAATCAGTCCCCTTATTTTTTTATGATGAAGGGAATTTTTTTCTCATAAAATGGATTTATATTTACATTATAAATCATCATCATCATCATCATTACAGCCCTTCACAAGTCCACTGCTGAACATAGGCCTCCCCCAAAGAATGCCACAAAGCACGGTCCTGAGCCATCTGCATCCATCGACTTCCTGCATATCTTACCAGGTCGTCACTCCATCTAGTGGGGGGACGCCCTACACTTCGCCTGCCGGTACGAGGCTGCCACTCGAAAACCTTTCTTCCCCATCGGTTGTCGGTTCTTCGAGCTATATGGCCGGCCCATGGCCACTTCAGCTTACTAATCCGTTGGGCTATGTCGGTCACTCTGGTTCTACTGCGGATATCCTCATTTCTGAGTTTATCACGCAGAGAAACTCCGAGCATAGCCCTCTCCATAGCTCGCTGAGCGACCTTGAGCTTCCTCATCCGGCCAGCAGTGAAGGACCACGTCTCAGTTCCGTATGTCATCACTGGCAACACGCACTGGGTGTACAGTCTCGTTTTCAAGTTTTGAGGTATACCTGACGAGAAGATGTGCCGTAATTTCCCGAACGCTGCCCAACCGAGTTGAATCCGTCGATTGACCTCTCGGTCGAAGTTGGACTTACCTAGTCGGACTATTTGTCCCAGGTAAACATACTCGTCAACAACTTCGAGCTTAGTGTTCCCAACAACTACCGGCATAGGTGTGACATGGACATTAA